ACCTGCAGAGGTTAGTGATTTGCTTAGATTACACACAGAGACTGATACTGTTATTACTGGTGTTGCTGAGGTTACTATTAAAGAATGGCTCAGTTTCCTCAAATACTACAAACACAAACAGAAATGTAGAAAGATCTGACAGCAGGCCTAGTTTTTATAGAAGTTCTGGGTACCACATAGTCTAAATTCTAAGAGCAAACCCTATGTAGGTAGGAGTCTTATTTAGAAAATTAGAATATATTTAATTTATTCAAATATAATTTTAATTTAAAAAATCAATAAAGTGGTGCTTTGGTTCTCATTGTTAATTGGTTCCAAGAGGCTCTTTTCTAAATATATGACAACAGAATGCCAATTTCATGGACTTAGTCCATAACTCCAATATTAGCAAGCTAATTTATCTAAAAATGCAATTTAAAATTTGTTGAGGATTCTGTTTCTAAAATGACTTATTCTTAACTATTCACATATGAAAGGCTGTCAGATGCCTGACCAGAGGTGACCAATGGCCATTCAAATGGGAAAGGATGCTTAAGTGAACAAACACACTACCAATAAAATATGAACTAATTTTATATGTTAATAATGGGCTCTTTAAATAAATGGGAGCTTAAAAGTTGGTATAATAATAATAATAATAATAAACCTGTCAATCTGCATCTCTGGTTATTCTATCTCAGAATTAGCCAATATAAACACAAAATTAAAATAAATACTTTAGTAAGAATCTCATTTTTCCAAAAAAAAGTGTTGGCTTTAATTTAAATTGATACTCAAATCACTGATTTGGGGCTCAAAGAGGATAAAGAACTCATTTCTCCTCAAGATGAAATGAAACAAAATAATAGTTTTAATTTATACAATGTCTTTGAATAATAAAAATTCTTGCCAGTTATATAATTTCCTAGATTCTTACAACAGGTGTATAGCAGGAAATGTATTAGTATTTTAAATAGAAATTTTCATTATAAACAACAAAAATGCAAATATCAAAGGGATTGAAAAGAAAAACTCAGCCATAATTCCACTTTTTTTAACACAATCTTGCTAACATCTGTACATGTTTCAGAATATTAAGCCTACTTCATTGGTGCAGAAATTGAGGAACACCATGTGATCTGTCCTGTGGACATGGGAAGGAAATGTACAACCTCTTACAGTTCTGAAGGACCCTGGGCCCAGTAGACAGGCAGCAAGTGGCCACTAGCTGCTACCCACCACCACTCCCTGACCTTAATCTGCTATTTTCTCTGGAGGTGAACAGCTGGGCAGCTAATAAACAAAGCACATTTCTACTTTTGAATTCCTCCTCCCATAAAGAAGGCAAGTCTGCTAACTAGGTCCTTGTTCCTTAAACAGTTCTGAGACTAAGGCTGCATATTTCAAATTGGGTAAAAAAATGTCTCAAAACCAAAACTTGTTTTCCATGGCCACAAATGGCCACATAACCCCAAGGCCTAACTAGGTTCAGATTCTTAGGTGACAAAAAGAATCTATCCTGAAGGATTCAGAAGCCCACTAAGGCCTGTCCCTGAGAACATATGGAGGCAAGCATAGAGGCCAAAGTCAGCTGCGTAATCTGAACACCACAGAGGATGTGGGTGATGCCTCATCCTGCCTACAGTTCTGAATGCTCCCACCGAATAAGCCACATTTATAGGCAAGCCACTCTAAAACCATTCTTTCCTACCTGCCTATAAAAAAATGTGATTGAGGGGGTGAAGGGAGGGCAGGGACAAGGGGAAAAAATGAGAACCAAGACCTGTCATGTAAAGGTACAAGATCCCAGTGATGAATGTAACTGTACCTAAATTGTACCAATAAACTCAATGAGAAAAAATAAAAAATGTGATTAACATTCCACTGAAAGACAGTCTCATTCACAACCCTCAACTACTTATTCAATGAGTTTTGATACAATCCTGCCACATCCTGCACAGACACATTTCCTGAATGTTCAACACACCACAGACTGGTTCTGTGGTTCTAGCTGCTGAATCACACATAATTGTTTAAAATGTGATGGGGGGTGAAGGGAGGGCAGGGACAAGGGGAAAAAATGAGAACCAAGACCTGTCATGTAAAGGTACAAGATCCCAGTGATGAATGTAACTGTACCTAAATTGTACCAATAAACTCAATGAGAAAAAATAAAAAATGTGATTAACATTCCACTGAAAGACAGTCTCATTCACAACCCTCAACTACTTATTCAATGAGTTTTGATACAATCCTGCCACATCCTGCACAGACACATTTCCTGAATGTTCAACACACCACAGACTGGTTCTGTGGTTCTAGCTGCTGAATCACACATAATTGTTTCATAAACCTTGACCAACCCTGGGGAAAATATATGGGATTGTGTCCATGGGGACTTCGAAAGAAAAATATAATAAATATAATAATCAGTACTGCTTAAAAATTGCTTCCTTACCATCGTAGGAATTTACATGTATGCAATCATGTATCTAAATCTGCTCAGCTACTGTATTCCACCCATATGTACCTGATATGTAAACTGCTTACCATGACTTTAGTTTGTAGTTTCAGATGTTGACCCTATTACAGGATGATGTAAATTAGATATTTAGCTTAAAAAAATGCAGAACTCAAGATCTCCATGGCTTCGGGTAGATGAATTATGGATAGAGAAGAAAGCAGCAAAAGCTTGTAAATTAGAGAGAATGAACAATTCTGATCACTGGGACATCAATAAATATTTACTCAAGTAATTAAGTTTGATGCAATGGGAAAAAATCGGATAAATCCTTTGTATTTTTAGTACCAGACTTTTAGAATGTCTAATTGTAGATGGAGAACCTCAACAAGTACTTTTGTGATACAATTATCTTTTTTAGTGTAAATCATGAGTTTACTGGACCACACATACACTGCAGCCCTGACCCTCTTGGGTGAAAGGAGTACACATAGCTAAGCGGAAGGAGGTCATCTGATCCCACAACTTAGCATTTTATTCCAGAAGGAAATATTTTTGCATGAACACTGAGATGAAACATGCTGAGTGGGACATACAGAAAGATTTGCCAATAGCTCTTCAAATGGGAATTTATGGCTTTCCGCTAGAATATTACTTTTTTGCATTATAAACATTCTTACTCAAGAACTTAAGTACTAACCAACTTTTTCTAGTTACAGTGACCTTAAAGTAACTCTAGACACCAGTAAATTGCTGTTACATTATCCATCATGGTGGAAATCACACACACACACATACAGAAATACTCACACATAACTGAAGACTTGAAAATCACCTAAAATCTTAAAAAGTATTTTAATAATATCCAAGGTGGCATATGACACACTTCTTACTAAACATAGTTAACTGGGATATTGGCAAAAAAGTTAATTCACTTCCTCTATTTCAACCTTCTTGGGAATTATAGTTGCCTATACATGTGAGAGACACTATGCTAAGGGTATAATTCAGAAATCATGATAAATTTTGCTCAGCATTTAAAAGTTTAATTTCCTTTTTCTTAATTAAAAAAAAGAGAAATCTTAATTACCAACTTTTACTGAAATGGGCAAGGGCATACCTATCTCATTTTGTATCATTATAAGCCAAAAAACATTGATGAGATTAAAATAATCACAGGAGCTTAAATCATAACTCATCAGTGCTTTCTAGCAGACACAAATAATTGATCATCCAAAACTTGGCATGAGAGTTTGGATTCACATAGGAAAAGTTACTTATTAGCCCATGACAGAATTAAGTCATTAGAAAAGATAAGTATTTTCACAAATATATGAAGCCAAGAATGTATATGCAATATTAAAATGTATACATACAATACAGACATATAGATTAACACTGTTGAAAGACAAAATGATCACAGACATTTGGCGCACCATATAAAAACTATGCTCTTTTAAAAAATGAATTTAATTTTATAGCTCTAACATAAGGATGCTTTGACAATGTCCTCCTCTTCCTCAAACATTAGAATTCTACCACTAACCCACCTATGCCTGAACTCCAACAAGCTAAAAAATAGTTGAGAAGAAATGACGAGAGGAGAGAAAAAGTCTTTTTCACTTTTAATAACTCCTATCACTGAGTAGAATTACATTGTAATGTATTTTTTTCACATACTCAGAAAGACTTATTTCATGATACATCGTTACTTTATCCTTGGGGCATTAGTAAAGATAAAGTCATAAATATAGTTTCTACATGTTTGTGTTTATCACAATGATGAGAAACTTCTCAATTTACATAGTACCCCCAAATTCTGAATGAATTGGCCCACATACCTCTGAAAAATTACTTTATGCTATTAACACAAAAGTCTTTAATAGCCCCTGAATGAATCATTTCTCTGAGAGCAAGTCTGCAGGTGGGCTTGGGAAAGGGAAAAAGACATCACAGAGTGGGGCTAGCTATAGATAATTGCCATTTGGGCCTACTGCTAATGAAAAGAGAAAATATAAGTATAAATAGTTAAACTATAAAGCAACATATAAACATTGTTATTAGTGGAAATAATAATTGTAGTATATAGTGCTGGGTAGTTTGATTCACACACTCAAAAATGCAACTGTAGTGAATGAAAGTCAACAATTAGGAGGCAACTACAGTCTTTGATTAAGAGTTCTGCATAGGGGATACATCAGCTCCAAAATTCTACTCCATGGAACTTGCTTACTCACAGCCTCATCACTTTTTGCTCTTAAAGAAGCTACTGATTAATCTAATTAATCTAGTTGGTTAATTTGTTCGCAAGTGTGGAATTTCAAATTTCAAAATCTTAAATAATTTTCCCTTTGTTCTTAGAAATGAATGTATGGTGCAGTTATTTTAATTTCACTACAACAGAGCAATTTAAATTAAAATTTTATACAATATATTAAGATTAGTCTCAGAAAAGATGAGACTAAAAATACACGTATAAGGCTTATATCTATTCAATTATTCAAACACATAGATACAATTTTTACTAAAATATGGCTATTTGAACTAAGTTTGATGTTACCTCTGGTACTCCTAGTTTTCGGCATGCTTCTAAAAAGTTTTCCACATTTCTTCTGCATTTAGCCATGCTAAGTTTGGGCTGTAAATGCAAATATACAGAAATAATGTATTATTAAAAGAGAATACATGGCAAAATTTGAAATACCTTATTGATAAATTTTGATTTTCTATGATCAGTTTCCTTAGAAAGGAAAGCAAGAAGTATAACAGATTCCAACATAGCACAGAAGCTATGTTTTATAAAGATTGACTTCATCCTGTTAAAAGTGATAGTGAAGTGACTAATATTATCTTATAAGGGCATAAATCAATCAACATTAAAAATTTAAATTTTCACAGCATTTATTTAAGATTTTATTTACTTAAAATGTCTCCACACAAAAGAAAATAAGCCTGTTGCCATGTGGAACAACATGGAGGCTAAACAAATATTCTCCATCTTGGTTGGCTAGGGAGGAAGTTGTGCCCCCATCGTGAGCTGCATGAAAACGAGGCGAGCAGCTGCCTGCACATCGGAGCACAGGATGGCTGCATGAAGCCCTGTGCAAACAGGAAGAACAGACATGAAGAAGGGACACGGGAATAACAGAAGAGCAGTTCTAGATGTGGTAACGGGGCACTGAGAGGCATTTTATCACGTGGAAATCTCAGCTTTGTCTCTGATCCTTTGGGCCCACGATCTTCTGTCAACTACTTATAGTCTGTTGTGAAAGTCCAGTGATGCTTCATGTTATTTTAAATACTTAGGGCTGGGGATGTAGCTCAGGGGCACCATGCCTTCCTGGCAAGCGCCAGGTCCTGAGTTCAATTTCTGGTACTGGGAAAAACAAATCCAAATACTTAGGTCAGCGCAGAACAAGCCAATGGATGACATGTTTCAATTTACAGGCCAGTGATTTCCAATCTCTGAAATTGAGGGAGGACCTATTCTAAGATTGTTTTGTAGCTTCAAATAGAAAAGTACTTGCAACAAATACAATATTTAATCATCGGATATTTGTTAAAGAATTGTCACCACTGTTCAAAGAATCAAAAATTATACCAACTGAAAAAAATTATACCAACTGAGATGCCAATGTTTTGCTTATCAAATTGTCAAAGACTGAAGAAATTCATTTTTCTAAGGAACAGTCTCAGCATATGGGCAATAACAATGATTCTGTTCACCATTATATTCTCTCAGCTTGGGTAAAAAATGGACATTACTTCTAGGAATGAAAGGTTAGAATGCTTAATGCTGGTAATAATACCAGCAGGAAAGGCACTCTCACCTAGCACTGATGAGGCAAACACAATTGTATTTATTGTTTACTATGTGTCAGACACTGCTCTTGGTGCCAAAGATACAACTGTGGGATCAAAAGACATGGCTTTTATATCACTTAGCTGTAGCACAGTTGGCAATATTGACAAATTAAAGGAAACTGTAATATAACAGCACAATTTCTAGTTGTAATGGGGTTGCTATAAGGGAATATACAAACCGCAAAAGGACCCAGTTCTAAGGGGTCAAGGATTGTTTAAGTCCTTGAAAAAACTGAAGCAGAGGAGACTGGGTGATAGATAGTGATGCTGAAAGGCCAAGATGTGGGGGCAGGGTCAGGAGCAGCATTCTAGGCAGAGAGCTGCCTATGACTGGAGTCGAGAGCCACCGGCACAGAGCAGCAACAGGAAGCAGGCTCTATGGCTACAGCACAGCTGGGCTGTGAAAAACAGCTTCAAGATACAGAAGTTTTGCTAAGGGACACTTAGAAACAAACTGCACTTCTAAAAAGGAACACTATAATAGCATAGACTAAAGTATGTTACAATTATTAACACAGATATTTAGGAAACATTTTAATGACAGGGAAAACTTCGGCTTTAATAGTAACTTTTAAATACCATTAAATGGTATATATAAGAAGCTATAATTTAAAAATACAGAAAATGTTAACAGTAAAGTAGGTGTCTTTGAGGGTAAGATAAAGGACAACTTATTTTTCTTTTGTTTTACACCCTTTTCTCTTCCCAACCAGGCACTGATTTTTCAATTTAAAAAATTTTACGAAAGAAATAAAGCAAATGATTTCTAAAATAATATAGCATTTTTCCTGAAAAAAATTTAAAAGTATACAAAGCATAAGTCGATTGATAGTGTCCTCTAACACCTTGTGAAGTGACAGCTGCACATTCCAGTGGGAGGTTGAAGAGTCCATAGTAACTCTCACAGAATTTGGGGAAAATAATTAAATGAAAATTTTGCATACGGTTCAGAAAATTTTATGGCAGTCTGAATCCCATTTGTAATAGTCTGGAAAGTTTCATACTGGATAACAGGATACAATTTACTGTCCCACACTAAGGCTACCAGAGGACATCTGAAAAAGGAGCCAATGTGGTCTTTCTTGCTGTATGTTTCTGAGGTGAAAAGAGTCAAGGTTTTCAAAGGAAAAATATGTGCAATGCTATAGAAAGGAAACCATTGAAATGGGATCATCAAATAGCATTTCTGCTTCCAAGAGAGAAAAAAAAGGAAGCCAACACTATAATGAGGCCTTCCTGGGAAAGAGATTATAGAGTACTGCATCTTATGAACACCATACAGTACCTTCAGGTGAGAGGTTCTGAATTTTGAAAATGTGCTCTACAAAAGCACTAGTGACATGAATGGTTCATATTTATGTGAAAAGCCTCCTAAGAACATGTTCATTACATAAAAGAACAAATTGAGTTAAAGACAGGATGTATAATTTCCCCAAAGTCGTATGGCTTTTAGAAGTCGATCCAGAATTTTAATGCAAACGTTATATTCTTAGCCCCTCAACTCTTTCTGCTTCTCCCAACACACAGCAAAAACGGAGTAGAAATTATTATTCTGTCTCTATGTAGGCTTCCAAGATAAGCCTTGCTCCACTACCCTCCCTCTGACCTAAACAACCATAGAATGGACTCTGGAGCTCTGTCTGGCCCAAGCTGTGCCCTGTGGAATCTAGGACCAAGATCCCACAGGCAGGTTTCATCAGGGAGGATGAGGCTTTAGGGGGCATCAGTGGGGTCCTATTCCCCACCCTCCCACCACCTTCAACATGTCCCTGAGCACAGTGTGATGAAGAAGTCTAATTTGTGTCTGGCTGACTGACCTCTGGCTTAACGGGTTAGTCACAATATTTTCCACAAACTGCTCATCTTTACAGAACCATCCTAAAATCCCCAATGACCATAAAAGAACGAGAGCCCATATTGAAGGGAAGATACCAACCAAAAGGGGCTTTCTATAAAGACTTCTCACTGTTTAAATAACCCCCTTTGAGATGTGGATCTTTATGTTCCTACAGTCCCAAAGTTAGCAGTAATTTCAGTAATATTTTTTAAACTTGATATCCGAAACAAAGCTATTTTCTGCCACTTACAGATTTACTTTAATATTCTCCCTTTTTGGTGAAAATGTTGTTTCATTCAGACTCATTCCTGCGATTGGTTCCTCTAGTTGTTTGGGGCCCAAAAGAAAGGACTGGAGCGGAGGACCTATTGGTCACATTGGATTCTTAACTAACCACACTGTCTGAGAAGAGTCTGTTTCATGTCAGTTAGCTGCCCTTAATATGCTGTTACTTACAACTGCAGGAGAGGGTACATGGATGCTGGCAACCGATCGTGGGCGGATGTGGTTGACCAGGTGGCAGAGTACAACACCATCCATGAGTGCCGCTCCCAGGTCTTCGTGAAGAGTGACCTTCAGTCTCATCTCGATGCTCTGTGAGGGAAACAGAAGAAAGCCAGTTGCTATGGATATCCTTCAAGATAAAATACGGTCACAAGCATTTATGAACTGAGCCTCTAGTTTTATTTTAGAGTCAGGGATAAGGATGCTCAGAAAACACTGACATTATTTCAGTTTTTTTCAAACAATACACAAAATCTCTCCATATAGAGCCAAATTTCATTGTATCTAAAATTTTAAAATTAGAATTAAAGGAATGCCAGAATCACTCTTCAGTTCAAGTTTTTTCAGCCCTTGATATGAAAACCTAGAAATAATGAATCCTTCATGGGGTAGAAGAGGGATAAAGGGATGCTTTTCTCATGGACTATATTTTATTGAGATATTCCTTTTTAAAAAGATTAAATTCTTAATTTTAAGGCATTCTAGATTCACATGCAGTTGTAAGAAATAATACAGAGAGATTCTATGTACACCTTACAAAGTTTCTTCCAGTGACAGCAACTTGCAAAACCACCATGACACTAATGTTCACAGAATCAAGGTGAACATTTTTTTTTTTTTAATTTTGGTACCAGGGATTGAACTCAGGACCTTACACTTGTGAAGCAGGCAGCAGAAACACGGAGCTAAGTCCCCAGTCCTGGATAATATTTCTATCACTGCAAAGATCTCTCATGCTGCCATTTTATGCCACACCCACTTCTCCTATCCTAAAACCATTCTCTGCTCCATACTCTTTCTCCTTTGCTTCTGCAATTCCCACGACATGAGTTTAGATCTTTTGTTATACTCCCACAGTTCCCTGAGACTTGTTCACTGATTTTTAGTCTGTTTTCTCTCTGTTGTTCAGATTAGATCATTTCTCTTTATTTTCTTCGTCACCTCCATTCAAGTTCTTTCCTTTGTCTCCTTTCTTCTGCTGTGTAGTCCGTCCACCAGACTTTTTATTTTGGATGTATTTTTCAGTTCTAATTTTTCATTTGTCTCTTCCTTATATTTCTGTTCTTTTGTTTCCTTGCTGAGATGTCCTAGTTCCCTCCTGAGTTGTTCTCTTTTCCTTTCTTGCAACCATATTTGTCATTGCTTGCTGAAATTATTTTGTCACGGTTGCTTTATTTAACCCCTTTGTCAGTATTTTGTAACTTCTCTGCCACTTCAGGGTTGCCATCTGTAAATTGTCATTTTTCATTTGGTTTGTGGTTGTCCTAGTTCTTGGTGTGGTGAATGATTTCCTATTGAAGCCTGAACATCTTTTGTTTTGTGCTATGTTCAGAGACTTTACAACCTATTTAAACCTATTTCACTCAGCTGTCTATATTTTTGGAAGCAAAGGGAGAATTCCATCTTGTTACTGCCAGATCAGTGTAGAAGACTAGGTTTTCTCCTTGGTCTCTGGCGGCCAGGGACTTGGGGTAAAGGTGTGTTTTCTTCCAGCTGGGGAGAGGTAGAAGTCCAGGTTCCCCAGGTGGTCTTCACCAGCACTGTGGAAGCAGAGGGGGGGTGAAATTCTGGCTTCAATTTTGCCTTCTCTGATATTAACCCTGTGGGGCACAAGTCCTGCCTCCTGACTTGGCCTTTGCTAGAGTGGATAGGGTAGCACCACTAATCTTTCCTTTGGTGTTCAGCTGGAGCTGGGCATTTATTATCTAAACATTTTCTGTCTTGAGAGAGTGCCCATTTCCTGGGTGTCTGGCTATAGGAATCAGGCTTTTAAGACTTTCTCTTTCTTTAAAAATCGGAGCCCAGTAGGTTCCTTCAGCTCCATGTCTGATAAATCCAAGGACAAAAAAGCGCCTGGAGCTTACTACCACCTTGTTCCTCAAGTCCTGAGCCAGCCTGCCCTCTTCTGTCCTCCTAGAATTGGTTTTATATACCCTGCATAAGCATGTTAGGGGGGAGTAGGAAAACATTTCTACTCAGTCTTCTCAGAAGCAGAGTAGAGAAGTCAATTTTAAAATCTTGAAGAAAAGTTTCTGATTTTCCACAGAAGCGTTTTTTTTTAAACTGGACAATTACCTAAGAATGGACAGCTTAATTTGGCGATTTATAATAAATGAAAACTTGAAAAATAGTGCATATAAATCTCAGAACTGCTGTGTATAGATGCCTAATTTTGGGGGCATTCCTTCATTCTATAGTTTTATCTCACTAAATTAAAGCATAAATGTTTCAGGTTCAAGATAAAATTGTAAGATATCACTCATTAAGAGACCTACCTTAACTTTAATCTTATTTTCATATATCTTAAAAAGTTTACCTTCCAAGTTTACAGTATATTCAAATCCTCTGGGCAAATGACAGGTCTGACTTTCCCTTTGTGCTTATAAGTCAACCCCAGTGACTTAAAAGACCTTGTTAAATGTTTGTTTTTAAAATTCTGCCCTCCTGACTACCTGCTAAACCATATACAAAATATCATCTTCAATAATGGAGATGCTGACCTACATTAATTTAATTTAAACTTTATTGATAGGGTTCTTTTATATCTTGTCAGTATCCACTGCTATCAGACATTGTATGTCTTTCTCTCTTTCTTTCCGTATTTACTATTTCCAATAGTCTACAGGCTTCATAACAGTAAGGGCTTTTTTTGTTCTCACCTATGTGCACCACCCAGAATAACACTTGAACAAGAGTGGTGAAAGGAGACCTGGAGACGAAGCTTTTCCATCCTCTTCCGAGTTATATCTATGGTATTTTGCTTTGAATATAAAGAACTTGTGATAATTCATAATGTGCTGTCTTTAGCTACAAATACCAATGTCTTCTTCCCCGGTCATGGATCCTTGTGGTATTTTACCTTCCATATATAATCTTAACTATACAAAAAGACTCTGAGGGTACACAGACACCTACAGAGTGCCCACCAGGAACTAAAACTTACAATAAAGAACTAGAGAGTCCTAGTCTCTGCCATTACCAGGATTAAAATTGTCAATGGCCCCCACTGTAAGACTACATCCTTAGGAGGAACTCAAATGGTCTGCCCCTTAAGTGATTAACATAAAAGCCTTGACCAGCATGGGATACAAAGTGAGGACAATTACAAACATCTTTAAATTAATGGAATATTATTATTAAAGAAAATAAAATGACTGTGTATTATTTAAAGTACACCACGACTGAAATAATGTTAATATTTATATATCTGTATTTATTTCTACTTACAGCCTCTTGTATTTTCCACAAAACCCCACTAAAGTAGATTAGAACTATGTTTTTAGTGCATAAAGAAACTGAAATGCAGGATTATTGTGACTTCTCCAGTGTCAGTCAGTAAGTGACGTAACCAGGCTTGAAACTACCATCATTTGCAATGCCTCGAAGTCTATTTTTAAAAAATATAAAACGCTGCTTCAATTCTGAAAATTCTTATTAAATTATATAGCATTTTTGAGTACCTCACGGAGTTGTTCCACCAGCTCTTTTTCTTCTCGTAACTGTTCCATTTTTCTCCGAATAGTAAATTGTGGGTCTATAGATTCCAGATTTCTCTGAGGTCTTAGAAACACTATAACAGAAGAGGGGAAGACAATTCCCTTAGATATGTCCTTGCACAGTTTTGCCTAACAAATAGGGTTGTTCATATTTAAATTAAACAAATAATCTCTTTATTCATCCCCCCAAAATTATTTACCTTTCACAGAAACAAAGAACTTCTGAGTTCACAGGAAAAGCATGAATCAAATATTGTAAAGGAGATTAGATTTTAAATTATATTGAGTTGTGTTTCTTTGTGGCAATCACTTGAACCCAGGGAACAATCTGAGTCATTGTAGAGACCATTACAGGCCACTTCTTGGACAGATCCTACCACTCTTGTTTTTCCACTATCTGCATTCTAAGCTTTAATTTATACTCAAATTCCTTCATTAAATTCAGATAATTTATCTCAAGAAGATGCCAGAATTGCTTTGCATGTTAAAAATCAGTGTAAGTTAATGATTTTATTAGCATAACATTTTTGTAAGCCTGAGTAACAGCTAAGTGATGATGCATATCTGAGTGTGGTATGGAAAAAAGCTGCTTTTTATTGTGTCAGTGACCAAGTACCCAAGAAACCAGCTCTTTAGAGATGACAGACTGCTTTCAGGAAGGCTGGTGGGAGTAGAGGCAATTTAAGAAATCACCATTAGCTTTCAGTTTAACCTGTGAGAATAGTAACTAATAAATGCTTCCTCTTGAAGGAATTCAAGTATATGCCTATAATCCCAGCACTCTGGGAGGCTGAGGCAGAAAGACTGAAAGTTTGAGGCCATCCCAGGGAACTTAGCTAAATAGTGTGATCCTGCCTCCAAACAAAAAATAAAAAGGGCTATTGATATTGCTGAGTGCAAAGGATCTGAATTCAATTTCCAGTACAAAAAACAAAAATCAAACCAAACCAACACAAAACAGAAAACTCCCAGATGTTTTCTTGGGTGGAGAAGTAGTTCAGAGGTAGAGCAGTTGCCTTGCCTACTACAGCAGGCCCTAGATTCAATTCCAAGTACTCCACAAACAGTCACATAAGATTAACTGGTAGAGGATAATATTCTTCAAGGATCAATCAAGAAGGCAGAAAATTTCTATTTTAATTGATTTTTAATGAAACAAAGCCCAAAGAAGATTTAAATTTGATTTTTTTCCTCCTTAGAGATTTTTTTCCCCCTAGACTGCCGACTTTCCATTTATACAAGCAGAAACAAAGAGCCGCTAGAGCTGTTTGATTCCTCCATCCTGCAGATTTTCAGATTGAGGAACATAGGGGAGACTTTAAGGAAATTTTGGGCAAAGAATTCCAGTGTTAAAGTCAGTATAGTACCACACAGAAAGTTGTACTGGCAAACTTTAATCAGTAGCATCCCTCATTATAATTTGAGCAATGTTAAAGAAGAGTATGCAACTTTCTTTTTTTTTTTTTTTTTTTGGTATGGGGGGATCGAACTCGGGTCCTTGCGCTTGTGAGGCAGGTGGCCGCATCACTGAGCTAAATCCCCGGCCCTGCAACTTTTATTTTGTCTTGATAAAGTTTTTCCTATGGGCCATTTTAGAAATTCAAAATTCGATTTTTTAAAAGTTAAATGTTTTACAAGTATAACAACTTGAATGAACAGTCTTGAGTCCACTCCATATAATTAAATATCCTGTACTCACCTAATTATATTATTGTAATCCCAATCTGTCTCTTTGGATTTTCTCCTTAAATCAGTTCTAGGATATTTGAATCAGCATCCTGAGGTTTTAGGGAACATCGATTGGCAAATGACACAGCTTAAATCCTTGACTCCCGGTTAATGGAGAAAGAGGATGAGCTAGTAATGCACATATGTCCTTTTGCCTTCTGGGATTTCTAGTAGAGTCAGCCTATGGCCTGGGCCTCCGTTGGACGGCACCCAGGGAAGTCACAGGCAAAGAGAGCGAAAGGGATCTTGTCAGAGGAAGGCTGGTCACCGAGGCGCACAAAGAACGCCAAAGTCCACAGAAAGGGAGACCGGTTGCTTAAAAAATAGAGTGAGGCCAGCAATAGAAGCAAAGCGTGACCAGGCAAAGAGAGATGAAGAGTTCACAGAGCCAAGGGAAGTGAGGGAAAGTCTGACAAATTAGGACGCACGGTAGAAACTTGAGAACTCATTAAATTTGCCTTTATACCTTCTTGAGCAAAAGAAGAAAATCTACCCACTGAAGCACAGCATTTCAAAGATAAATGTATTAAGATGTAAAATTATTAAGCAGTAATCTGTGTCTCCTAAGGAAACAATTCAATTCCTTCTCCTAAGGAAAACAATTCACTTTTACCAAAAAAGTCAAGGAATGTGGACAGAGTTGGGTAATACACATGTACACCGGCAAGGGGCGCACCAACACCACTGACATAAACTTTTCTTTAGAGGTTTTATTTTCCCTTACCTTTCTCTAGGGTATTCTTATCTCATACAACATATTTAATATTTTCAAAATGTTTTTATTGGCAGTTTTCACTCTGAATATGAAACTATCAGGAAGTTTCATAAATTGGGAGCTTTTGTCTAGCAGCACACAAGTCAAGCATCGGTGCCTTATTGGAGCCCTGTGAGGACGCTCATGACAAGGCGCTGGTGTCTGCATTTCAATCTCCTAGCGTTATTTTTCATTTAAAATTCCTGTGTATCTTAAGATTACAACATGCATGTCTGGATATTTTTTCTTTGAATGTTAAGCAATCAAAAATGTTTAGAAATATTTGAATAGTAGTTTTTAATACAAAGGCTTCAAAAGTACATGAAATTATTAGAAATCATGACTATGGTTCTACTAGTTTTTTTAAGTATATCAATTCCATGAAATAGAGGAGAATTGACCAGGGATCTAGCTGAGTGGTTCGGCCACCTGCCTTGCAAGTGTAGGGGCCTGAGTTTGATCCCTGGTACAAAAAAAAAAACCAAAAAAACAAAAAAACAAAACAAAATAGAGGAGAATTTAAAACAAACTCTTTAGGTACACAATAAATTTGCCAACTTTTTTTGCTAGGTTTGCTATGACAGAATAGTTTTACTTTAGAGTATTATGGTAGCTATAATTACATTCCTTGTGATTTTTTTCTTTCAAGTAATATTTAATAATAAAGCCAGTGACCAATCTTGGCCATAACCTCAGGAAACTGATTCATGGAAAAATGACTCTTTTTTGTTAATTCCATATTACTACCATATATTTCAAAACTCTCATAATTTGGAGAAGTAAAAGTTCAATTTGAGGCTGCAGGGCAATATTTAAAGACAGCTTGTTGTTAGCATCTGCTTTTCATATCAAATGCTACCCTGTTTCAATGTAAACAGGAAAATAAGGGACAAGAGAGCAGTGTGTATGTGTGTGCACACAGGAAAGAGGGTAGATGATTTAAGATGCAAAAAAAAAGTCCTTAACTGCTTTTTCTAAAGCAAATTTATATCATTTAAAATACAAAAAGATTTATAATTTGTTTAGCAGAAGACACTAATTTCTAAGCACAGTACTTAAAGGAATGATAAATAAACTTATGCAGAATATATAAAAATCAACCTTACAAATACATGTCAAATTCCAGTGATTTCTCCATTTTCGCTACCTTTTCCTTCACTATGTTTATTCCTCTATCCTAGGACTTACAAAATTCATTATCTGGGTCTCTCTTACAGCACTCATCACTTTTTACATTACAGTAGAAATATATTTCTCTCCATTATAAAACCATAAGAGCATATGTGCCTCAGACTTATATCCTCTACCCTACCTCACAAAGTAGTGAGTTGGGCAGCATGAATTTGCTAAGGAGAAAATGAAACCAGTGTTTCAAAATTCTCTCATTCAAAGATCAGTCTACTTAAAGGTCACCTTGAAGAAATTATCTCATCCCAATCAAGTGATCCGAGTTTCTCCTCTCATAGAAATTCTGCTAACATCAGTCTCTAGGTCTGAATACAGTAGACTCCAAAGTCAGGAGAATAGAGATTGTGTCTATCTTTTTCAGAGCTGTATCCATCATGAGCATCATGCCTGGCACATAGTAAGCACTCGATAGCTATTTAAGGATGTGTACAAACAACGATTTCTCTAATTATTGCAGGAATATATTTTAAATAAAAAAAGGTTACTGCTCTCAAATGTGGCTGAAATTCATTTTACCATATATTTCATGAAATATACTTTCTATAAAAATCATCAATCTATATTATTAACTCTTATTACCTAAATTTAAGCAAATAAGGCAATTTCTTCTTTGTGGAAAAAGGTTTTGAAATATAGTTCTCGCCTTCTTGGAGGTTAAACACCTGGGCTGCTGTGATGTTTGTGCTATACAAATCCAGCTGGGGATGCAGCTGCACAGTAGAGCACTTGTCTAGCATATGTGAAGGCCCGGGTTCTATTCTAGGCACCATAAATTTTAAAAAGAAAGAAAAATATATACAAGTTCAAGGGTAGAAATACAATGGCTTTGAAAAAAATCATGAGCTTTAGTTTCAGGCTGCGAGTTAAAAATTTAACAAGCTGATTCATTCCATCTACCTTTGGTAGCAAAAAGGAAATATATTTATATAAAATGCTTAAATTCCCTCTCTAGGCTCTTGGGTATGTTTCTTAATCCAGTGGTTTTCAAACCTACCTGTACCACATACTACATAAATGCAGTTAAAAAAAGATCAGTGTTTATATGCAATGCCTTATCAAATAAACTAGCTCCTCTGAGTCTAGGGTTAAGACAATTGTAATACAAAGCCAGAACTGAGGCTTGAAAAAAAGAAGAAAAAAAAAAACCCCTCTCACACCCTCAGTTTCCTCACTTTCAAAACATAGAAAATAATACCTTAGAGCAAGATTATCATAAAAAAAAATTAGGGAAACTGTCTGTGAGCTGGCAAGATGCATCTGTCCATTCATTTCCTCTCAGATGATTACTTAAAAACTAAGCCTAAATTAGCACCCAATGATTCAATGCAAATGAAAAAGCAAAAGTGATTCAAAAGAAGACGGAAAGGTATTAACTTCAAAGTAAAGGGGGAAAAAGAGACTGAGTCATAAGAGGGAGTAAGAAAGAGCAAGGGAAGGAGCAGAGGGCAAGTTGAAAAGAAACAGATAAAACTGCCCATCCAGTGCCAGAGGTAGGCAGAGCTCTAGGTGAACTTCCACACTCGCCTCCATCCACCCAAGGCAGAACTCTGGGAACTGTGGAAATCCAAACTCCAAGGATCTCCTGCCCCAGTGAGACATTTAAATAATGTCTCTTTGAAGAACAAATGATAGGGAAAATGGTGAATTTAAAATGAGACAGATTTGGAATAAAACACTGGAAGGAGTGAAATAGAAGAATATTTACACAAAGTGAAGCAGTGAACAAGATATAAAAATGCCAAGTTTTTCAAAATGAGTAACTAAATTAGGTTTCCCTTATCTTAAGTTGTTGATAAGACGTCCCTTATTTCCAAAGGTTGAGAGGCCTGAAGATATTGGATAATAAAAAAATATAAGGAAACAAAAGCAATGTGATAATCAACTTTGAAACTGCCAACAGAGACAATGGAGCAGAACTTTCTACTCAGAAGGTAGCATATGCAACATACAAGGCAGGAGGGGTTCCCCTTGTAACATTAGCTCATCTACTTGTGGACATAGAGTACTACTTTAAAAAGTGTATTAGAAAGCATATTCACATCACAAGGCAATGTTTAGCACGAAAAGAACAAAGATGTGCATGAAACCTGCACCAATATTTTTGTAAAGAACATTTTCTGTACACAAAATTTCCACTTGCCTAAGGCATATGAGAGACGAACTGCAAAGAGAGAAAAATGACAACCACCAAATATCAGTCATGATTGATTGAGCAGGATAAATATTGAAAACAAGCGTTCTATTATTATTGTGGAACAATGTGAGAGGTACATATGAACGCCTGGAATTGTCACTCAGAAAAAATACCAATTCATAAAGCAGAGGCTATTTTCTTTCTAGAAAGATTTTCACAGTGATTTTTTGCTAAGAAAATAGCAGATATTTTAATTAAAAGAAGGCAGCCTGGCTTAGTACACTGCACACAGAGGCCTCAGTAAACAACTGTAGATTTGTCTGAGAGGAGACATGCAAGAGTTAGGAACTTTGAGTATGGCCTAACAGTGTAACCAGGCAGCTCACCTCACCGTTGTGGTTTTTGTCAGTTCATCTATAAGGACAGAAACTCAGGTGTTTAAGTCTGTGCCTGCTTAAACAGGTGCTCTGGTTTCAGACATCAATACTAAGGAAATACCAAATCACTCATAAATCTTTCATACTAGGCTTTATTTCCTTTAGCCAACATCATATCCATAAATAGCCATAGTTTCTGAAAAACAAAATTCTCCCTTTTTAAAAATTTATTTTTTTAATTTTTAAGCAAAGAAACAGTTTATCAGGTTTCATGTAGCCCTCTTCAATTTCCAGCGCTGAATGCTGGATGATACAGGAGGAGGGACTTTTGTTTCACAACTGTTGTATAATCAAAATATATCTTCCTATTGTATTTGAATCAGAGTTATAGCTCACATTTCATTTGCTCCTCTAAAAATCACACTGTTGCTTTTAATATTACTTTTATTACTTTGTATTTTGAAGCAGAATGTTTAAGATCTGAACTAGGGTTAGACTAGAGTGGAGATTCAGATATATATAGTACATAGATCTAAATAATTATATTTATTTTATTTTTATCTCTTGGACTACTTTACATATTTACTGCCACAAAATTAAGATATCCACATTAATCATACCTGAGTATCCTCGATTTTTTATTTGTATATATTAATCTCACATCAATTTATTATTCTTGAATATTATACAGTTGAATTTATAATCCAGAAAGCATGAAAAGTCAAAATGTGTGAATAATGTTTTAAAAAGAAGGCAAGTGATTTCCATTTGGTTTCAAAATTCCTCCATGTTACCATTTCAGTGCAACACACTCTAGGATCAGCCACAGTATGTTTTAATTACCTTTAATTCTCATGTGGTAAGCATAGACAATAAAAGATCAAACTCTTAAAGCATTTATTACAGGTGTGAAAGCAAGCAGAGATAATTCAAAGGTGCAAACCCAAATCTCTGTGGTCAAGCAGACAAACCAAAAAACCCAAGCAGGATAGGTAGAGAAGAAAGCATTGTAAAATCCTCCCCCAAATCAGAGTGCTCAAGATAATTAAACTATAATTTGACCAACTGCTAGAAAACAATTACATGCATTTGGGAACATCACTGTCTAGGCTGACTCAGCATCTCATCTCATGTGACAAGCATGCAAGTGAATATACTCTAGCTGCAGAGAAAGAAAACTTCAGTATATTCACTGGCTTATTAATGAGAAAAGTGAAGAAGAGGTACAAAACCACCTACCATTGTCACTGTCTCCTTCTGAGGGAACACTGTAGCTAGAGTTGTCCCATGTTTGTGCCTGTGTAAGTTTGTTGAAGGAGATAGGAGGGAGAATGAGGGCTGGGTCTGCAGGAGAGCGAGAGAGCCAGGCCGCAAACAGTTGCACAAGGACCAGGGAAAACCAAAAGGGCCGCAGCATTTCACAAATGGCATAAGGTTTGTATGAAAATGAAGTGGGTTTCATTTATATGGGATTTAATTTCAAATGTACAATACGGGAGGAGAATGAAAGATGGCATATGGAATAAAAAGAATGATAAAAACTGAGTGTTAGTACTCATCAGTCAAATATTTTACATGCAGTTAATATCGTTAATCTTAACAGTTCCGCAAGCCCGCAGACTTAAGGGTACTAATGAGTTGTGTCAGTAGAAAGAAAGAGCACTCATGAGTTATACACAGACCTACCAGATACCTTTCTTGAAGACTTTCTGAACAACTAACACTCTTAGAAAATACAATTACATGATTCACACAAAAAGTCTGGTCATGGAGGAAAAAGCTATCTATAAGTATATCTATCATTTTAAAATAAAACAGAATCCTTGTTTACTATTAGTGAATTTTTTTCCCCAAGGCAATGTAGAATTTCATTTTAAAGAGATCTGTAAAGTTTCCTGGTATGCTTTATGGAGAGCTGAATCCAACCAAGTCTTCTTTAACCCACACTGTATATCTCAATCAACTAGTTTTAGATATTGTTCAGTTAAAAAAGAAAGTGGACATCAATAGAGTATGTTTAACAATAAATCTAACCAAAAGATAGATGCCAATCAATTTCAAGAATTTCTGAGTTGGTTATTTATGAAATAATAATACATCTTACTTTATATCTGGCGCTAAAAGAAGATAAAACCAGAACATTTATTTAGGATATTTATATTTAAGAAATATTCTACATAATTCTTTTATCAGATCATAGGGCAGGGCCAGTAAAATGAATGTATGTGATTCTAGGAATATATGTTTGGATACATGCATTATCTCTCCTTGGGAGGAAAACATGGAAGAGAAAAAAATGTTTCTTCTGAAGAAAACTATTAATATATAAGAACCTAAATTTTTATTCTGACTTGATCATAAGAGCAGTCTTTTATTTGTAACCTCCAGATCACAGAAATCTACATACTTAATTTTAAATTAAAATTAGTTTTAAGCATTCACTCAAAAATTGGCTTCTATCCTTTTTAATCATATAATCTCTGGTTAAGATACAATACAAATTATTTTCCAGCAAAAATATGGAAAATAAATAATACAATATTTATAAGTTACTACATAAAATCTTAAAATCCAAATACATAATGCTGATTTTATTAAAATTCCAATGACACTTGATGTTTCTGAAGATAAATCAACATTATATCCGGCAACAAACTCCACAAAGCTTTCCACAACTAGCACAATTCACATCCTGGCTAATTGAGTACCTCAAGGCTGGAAGCTTAGAGAGGAAACAATCTTTATTTTCTGTTATTCAAAACAATTTCTACTTTTTATTTCTTACCACTACAAAGAACCTGAAATAGTTTACAGTGACGGTACTTAATCTGATAACTTAACTGAGCTCTATAAAAGGAATAAAAAGTCACCAGAGCAATTTTACAATTACATTGTAAGACTGTACATTCAAAAGAAATTGTTCTTTGGTGATCCCTTCAGCTTTTGACTTGCTCAATATGGAATATTTTAAAATTCTGTAAGGCTGCCTGCAGGGATTAAGAGATAGTCTGTAAACCAGTCTGAGGTACTCAGTGTACAGAGCCATGACTCTTGTGGTCCTCACTGAGGGCACAGAGGTGGCAGGCCTGGATTCGCCTCCTTCTCCCAAAACACAACCAAGACCAGGAAGTAAACATGCAGCCCAGATCTGGTCACATACACTCCATTCCACACTGGAGAAGGGCAGCTGTTGGGAGTCTTATTTCATGTACAATTTGATTCTCCATAGAACAACCTTCTAGGATCAGGGCTGTGGCTTAGTGATAACTTGCCTAGCAAGTGTGTGAGGGCCTGGGTTTGATCCCCAGCACCACAGAAACAAAAAGCAAACAAACACCAACTCTTATCCCACTTAAGCACAGTTCCACAAAAGAGTTTTTGGATATAGCTCTTTTAAATTCCCAAAACAAAAACCAATACACCTGGCCACATACTCCCCATAAATGAACTTGCTCCAAGAATGAAAATACTTCCTTATTAATGAATCATTTTCGTTTTTTTTCTTATTGGTACATTTTTCAAACTAAACACGTGTACAACTTCTACTGTTGTCAAAATGCTTCAATGGAAAACTCAAGAACATCTCAGTTGTCTACCAGCTTTGGCTTAAAAGTGTCTGAGTTCTCCACCTGCACTTGCTTAAAAGCATTGGTAGTGAGGAGCTAAGGAGGAGCTAAAAGAAGACAGCACCAGAACTGTAAATAAATGGACAAATCAGAAGAAACACACTTCTCTATTCAGAGTCCTTTTTATAACTTACTTTTGTGAACACACTAGTTAGATCAACAAGCAGAATGCTTTCTTTCTCATGGTTTTTTTTTGTTTGTTTTTTATCATAACCTCTACTCATTCATGTAAATCTTGAAGTAATCACTCTGTTACATGAATAAATACATAGGTCCTACCACACTAAGAAAGCAACTGGAGATATCCAAGAAAGAAGTCTGCTAACCTTTAGCTCACTACAACACCAGGAACCACTGGGGCAACAGAAAGCTATTTTATTTTCCTTGGGTAAAAAAGTTCAATAGGCTATTATTTTCTACTTGCATGTTCCCACCATGGTTTCTCCTTTGCTCTGATTCAAAAGAAGGAAAGTTATCCATTACTGACAGCAGGGACCTGCTGAGTCCCTAAAAATCATAGCTCCAGTCTCTGATTTGGTTCTGATACCATGAATCAAGCTTACCAAAACTGACAGTGTTCACGGATAAACTTAAAGGCTAAAGAGAAACCACCAAGTTATTTAGTTTAGGAATGATATAATGGACTGAGGTTTTAATTTACCTGATCTAGGCTTCAGGCCAAATGGAGCTGTACTGTTAATGGTAGGAGAGATTGTGGGGGAGTTCTCTCTCATCTGTGAGGTTAGAAGAAAAGGAAATTAGGAAAAAAATAATCCAGAAGCAGAACTATGTACACTTCTCTATGGTCAAAGATTACTATAATATGGCTTGTTGTTTGCATTTTCTGCAGTGTGATGAAGTCTTGGCTTAAAAAAAATCACTTTGCAGATGTTTTAAGCAGAATAAGCAACAGAAAATTGTTTTGGGGTGACTCATTCAATTTTTTATTTGTTCATTACAAATGTACTTCACAGTCCTGTGAGAGTGGTAGTCTCTTTCTCCTCCAGCATGGGGGTATGCATGGGTGCATGTGTGTGTGTGTGCCTACATCCAAAAGAGGCCACATCTACCAAAGATTCTCATTAAATCAATGAGACAAGGAAACAGTACCACTGACAGATGTCTCATCTATAGAAACCACATGCTGAAGACTTTCTAACTATTGCCTAGTTGAGTGACTTCCATTCTGTTTTCTACAGATATTCTTGCATTTGGTTGTCAAGAATGTTTCTTACAAAAAGTAACCTAATTACTCAAAGGGCCAGATAAGGCTAGATAGCTAAGTAGAGTTCACCTGAGTCTCTTCAATTAGCTCAATAATCATAGTCTTAGTTTACACATTTCTGTAGAAGATATTCTAATTCAGCCTTCATAGAACACCTTAGCTTCCATTCATCTTCAGGGAACTTACCTCATCTGGAGAATACTGGCTTCCATTACTCTGCAATGTTAGGTCATTTTGCACCTTGGAGAAGAGAGAGAGAGGAAAAAAAGGATGGTATATTCCATTACACTGTGAAAGAGATGAGGCAAAAAGGCAAAGCGAGTTTCTCTTACTTCCATCACATCCCCTGCCCAGGCAAAAGCAATAAATTTATATTGAACCAATAAGTGAGTTCAACAGCTAAATAGGTCACATTAGCATTTCTAAAAGCATGAAACGATATTCACAAAAAATATATATATCTGAAGTATCACGCAAATTAAGATAAGAATTTTTTCCAGCATGAAGAGTTTACTCCCAAGTTTCCAAGAACAGTAGCCTACCTTGCCAAGTTACCAAGCTACCAGCTGGCCACGAGCCCCATTCTAATTATGGGCTTTTAGAAATGGTCCAGGGTAGTAGTTCCAAAATACACAGAGTCACATTGGGAGCTTTTAATAAATGCTTGTGCCTAGATCTCAATCTCACGAGATCTGCTCAATATCAGTGTGCTTTGGCAACCACTGGTTAAGAGAAAATATGGTAAAGCATGGTGGTCACAGTTTCCACCTGAAATAACTGGGTAGGGGGTGGTACTGCTGTTCAAAAGGAAGTTGATAGTTTGGATGAGCCACACAGACAACAGGAACATGGAGATGAAATCTGAATGCTGGGAGAAAGGGCAGGAATTTGGGACATAAGCTATAGATTTGGGATTTGGAAGTCATTATTATATAGGGGATATGTAAGCCCATGAAGTTGGCCAGATTCTCCAGTACAGAAGATGAAAAATGATACCTGATGGCAAAAACCTATAAAACTAGCACAAAAAGGGCACCGAGAGACAAGAAACTATAGGGAGCACATTCTAGTGTGTCCTCCCAGATCTGCCTTCTTTATATGATGGTCAAGACCCTACTGATCCACCTTATTAAAATACACCTAATATAAACACGTTCACATATGCCATCAAATTCATGTAAAATAAAGATATCCCATTCATCCCTGAGGAGTGATATTTAAGAGTATTTTCAATTTTAACACAAATCCAAGGGTCAAACAGTTTTAGAATAAGATGCCATTAATGTCTCTATCCAATTAAAGAACTTTGTTAAAACTGCTAACAAGTATCTTTGGGTTTGAGGTTTTCTATAAGCAGCTCTTTGCTCTAATTTTTCCTATTGTTTTTTCAATATCCTCTCCTATTGGATATAATATATACCTGACAAGTCAATTCACATTTCTTCCCGAATGCAAGCCAATGCTACCCAGACTTGATGAGGACAGTGTTCTGAAGTATGTTTAATCGATATTACTGGCCATTAGAAAAATGCAATTTAAAATGACACCGAGAAATCTTACTCCAGAACAAATGGTTACACCATCAAAAAATTAAATCATAATAAATGCCGGTGAAGCCATCAGGGAAAAAGCAACCCTTCTCCATTGTTGGTGAGAATGGAAACTAGTACAACTACTATGCAAATCAGTGTGGAGATTCCTCAAAACACTAAAAATAGAAACTCCATTCAACTCAGCTGTTCACTTACAAGGTACCTTCCCAAGAGTTAAAGTCTTCGTATTAGAGCGATACATGCGTGCCCATTTCTATAGCAGCACAACTTAAAATAGCTAAATCTTGGAAATGCCCTATATGCCCTTCAACAGATGAACAGATAAGGAAAATGTGGTATATACACACAATGTCATAACAAAGGATAAAGGAGGCATTTGTAGGTAAATGGATACATCTTGAGACCATAATATTGAGTGAAATAAATTAAACACACAAGCTTGAATATTGCAGTTTCTCTTATATGAGAAACTCAAAATATAAAGAGAAAAATAAGATAGGTAATAGGAAGTAGGGTGATTTTTTTCAAATGGGAACTGGAACAAGAGATGCAAGGAGAGGAAAAAAAAGTGGAAGGGGAAAAAGAATTGAAAGAAAAAAATGGAAACAGAGCTTTTGTAAAAAGGAAAGAGACCAAGAGTGGAAGAAGCAGAGAGTGATGGGTGGGTTACGGGATGAATAAAAGAATTAAGATGGATCCTGTACACGTTCCAACTCTTCGTGATGAATGTAATCATTATGTACTGCAAACATGTACAAATAAGATGAAAAAAGGGGAACAAAATTAAGCATATTTAAGGTCAGAGAACGTGGCAGCCCCCAGCTGCAGACTGCTCCAGCCTGGCCTCACTCTAGTCACTGGGTCACACAGGGTGCTGAACCCACCACAGCCGCAATGCCTTGCACAGCGTGTCCTGGCCACAGCCTCAAAGCCCCAGTTTACCCCTCTCCTCAGATCCCGCTCCAGTCTCTCAGAGCACAGAGAAAACTCAGGACTCCTCTACATATTCTCCTCTACATACTTTCAGCATCTACATCTGCCGTCCTGTGCAATTCCTAAGCCTCCCCTAAAATGAGGGCCACTTGCCATCCTTCCCATTCTAGTCCTCCATGGCAAACACTAGCTGGACCAACAGAGGCACTCAACAGATGGTGAGCCTGTGCAGGCCTGTGCTGAAGCACACTACTCTCTTCTTGCATAAGGTGGAAGACAGGATGAAAAATAACCACATACAAATAAGGACCTGCACCAGCATGAGCACTGGCCTTGAGAATACACTGCTTTACTATGTTTTCCTTATTCTCATGAATTTCTTGTCCTTCCTCCCTTTTTAAAATCATGGAGAGGTGTTTACCAGGGACAGAGAACTGCCCCAAGAAGAAAGAAAAGGTAAAACAGTCAAATAGTAAAAAGGCAAAATAGTCAAATATGCCTATTCAACCAAAGAAACAAATCCTTATATTTTATTAAAATAATATAAAACATTGTGAGTTGAGGATAGAGTACAGGTATCATTTTTCCTATAGGCTTTGTGTCTTCCTGATAACTCTTACAATCCTAGAATCCAGGTATATTTCTTAAAAAAAAGTACATGTGTGTAAGTTCAAGCACATTTTAAGCAGCACGCTTAAATAACAGTGCCACCGTAGGTTATACCTGGCATATGCTTTGTGTTCAAACAGTGACACAACTGGCCCAATCAGCAGGTGTTCACTCTGGGGAAGGGTGTGGAGTGACCTGCTTGGAGGGCCTCAATACCCATTAAAGTGACCACACTAACCAAGGGACCAACACATCTCTTCGAAGTCCAATTCCCTCTCTTAGATGGGAATACATTCCACACATTCCATGTACTGGAATGATTGCAACCCGGAGAAACTTCAGAAAATCCCATGAGGCTCTATGAGCAGGCAGAAAAGGGTCAGATGAGTTTCAAGAAGCACAAGCACAAGAATGTGCACTCGAGAGAACACAACATACAGTGCATTTTACCTAAATGAGGTACTGTATCAGCTACTGTATCAGTTACAAGCTTATACATCCAATGAGCAGGACACTGAAATTCTGCTGCCCAAAGCCTACCCATTACCACCTATGTCCTCTTTCCTTTTCTTCTTCCCTCTCTTGCACAGACTCTCACTAACTACTCACCATGCACAGGGCCTGTGCTAGGTCTCACTTTAGGTGAAAAAGCTAAGCACTTATGCTATGCCATGAAGACAAGCAATAGCAGAAATAAAGGAGGCATCAATTAACAATAAAAACCAACTTCAAAAATTAAGGTGATAACATGTAAAACACAAAATCCATGATCCATCATCAAGCAAGGCCTCCTTTTTTCATCAGGAATACATGCATTACAGTGGGACAATATTACCGACATAACCATACAATTATACCTCAGAGAACTAGCTTTTGTCTAGAAGTCTTGAGTCTTACTGGCACTCCTGAAATCATGCACAGGTGGCCATCTATTTCACTAATCAAAAGTGAGTCTGTAGCATGATACTAATATGCACTCAAAAAATAAAATAAAATAAAATGGACTCACAGCTTTCACAATGAACTATATTCCAAGACTTTTGTTTTTTATTTTGCGACAGGGCCTTGCTAAGTCAGTAACTAAGTTGCCCATGATGGGATCAAACTTTCAGTTCTCCTGCCTCAGCCTCGCAGAGTGCTGGGATTATAGCTTTAGACCTTCATGCTCAGCCACCAAGATGATCTTCAGGCATCTCTTCACAGACTGTGAATTAGATGCATGGGGAAAATAAAACGACAATTATACAGTAGAGAAACGAGGTTACACCTCAATTGGGTGATTAAATTAACACCATCAGTGAGGGACAGATGGGGACATACCATGTCCCCAACTGTGAAACCTTGAGGACACACAGTGTCACCTGGGCAGGATGCCAAATAAGAAGGCAGAACCTCAATCTAATCATGAGCAAATGTTAAACACCAGAGGAAGGACACTTTATTAAAAAGAAGGAGGCTCGTGTTCTGCAAAATTTCAAGGCCATAAATCAAAGAAAGGTTACACAATGTTCCAGAGAAAAAGAGGCTGTAAATACCTGACAACTGAAGGCAACATCTGCACTGGAAGAAAAAGACTGGTTTGAAGAGTGACTGATCAACTGATCGATCAATCTGGAGCATGGATGGTAGAGCTGATAAAAGTGCGTCTTCGATGTACATTTATGAAGTTCATAACTGAAATGTGATTATGTAAATCCCCATTCTTAGAAAAAATACACTGAAATGTTTTAGGGTAAAAAACTGTGATGAATAAAACTTATCCTCAACTATTTCAGAAGAATGAACGTGTGTGGACAGAGGAAGAGAGAGAAAAAAACAAATAACAAAGCCAATGTGGTAGAATGATAATATAGCTTCAGTATACCTTATCCAAAAACCGTGGGACCAGAAGTATTTGGAATTTCAGATTCTGGAATATTGGCACATATGTAATAAGATATCCTGGGGATAGGACCCTAGTCTAAACACAAAATTCACTTATACTTCATGTATCTTTTATACGCACACCATAAAGATAATCTTATACATTTTTAGTGCATTTGTGAGATCATGTTGGTGCTCAGAGTTTTAGATTTTTGGAATATTTTCTGATTTTGAATTTTGCAGATTAGGGATGTTCAAGCCATAGCTCATAAATCTGAATGAGGGCCTATAAATTTTTTGCATCTGCTTACACAAACTCGTACTTTATTTTTTGCAATCTTTTACAAATTTAAAGTTATTTTCAAATATGAAGTTTAAAAATAGTGAGTTTTCAGAGAACCAAAATCAATCTAAATGGAGAACCTGAGGAAGTAAGTCCCGAGCAGCCTGCTAATAAAAAGCATCCTGACATCCCACTACTGGGTAGTTCAATAAGCTGCCAACCCAGGGTAGCCCAACTTACCAAAAATGAAGGTTGAGTTTAGAGCGGTTAATTAACTTTCCTAGAGTTAGCAAGTCTTTGAAAGGGGGCTCAATCCCCAACACAACTGCAAGTCCCCACACTAACAATGAGACTATATCCCTTGTGAACATGCCAGTTTGCACACACTCTTGCACCCTAACTCTGCCATCCTAATTTCATTTGTTAAGGAGGAATGGAGCACATTGCCAGAGGTTTTACTTAACTCCAGAATTATCAGCTCTTGCTTACCTCTCTGTGACCACCGGGATCGTTCAGGTTCACCTCTACTTTAATGTCAAAACTGCTTGTTCTGCCATTCAAATACCAAGCCCAATGCAGCTCTACTTAACTTTCCCTCATCAAGTCCTTAAATAATCTCACCAGTTTCTCTTCATGGTATTCTTTTGATCCTAGACACTTTCAATTTATTTGCTCTTATTTCTCAGGTCTTTTCCAGTTCATTTTCAACAGAGCGGACTTCTTCCTCGGTTCTAAAATCTACTCTGAATGGACCTACCTCCGACCCCTGATGGAGTAGGTTCCTTAGGTATTTTAGTGGCCGTTACCCGACTCAGCAAGACTGCCTTTATGCCAAAAATTTAGATAATCTCAGACAAATAGCCAACTTTCATCTTTAATGGATGGTGAGTTATAAGATAAGCAGAACTAAAGAGGGTAAAATATACAACAGTTGAAAAAAATACATCCTGAACAAATATAGATAATGGCCTCACTCTTAAAAATGCTTTTCCTTCTGTAAGTCTGTACAGAACAAGGTAGACATCTGTAAAGTCCTGGTCTTACCTCACACACCGGAGATGTCTCCAGCTCTATCTGACCACTATGGGAAAAGAGGGGGGGAAAAAAAGAGAAGACATAAAGTGGAATTTAAAGCATAAACACTTCAATGTAAAAAAAATTATTTAGTTATAAAAAGGCAAACATACTTCAGTGTAGAATCTGGTAATTCTAAGTCTTCTGCTGCTCCCATAGGATACAGATGTAAAATACTTCTTTCTGTAATATCTGTGCTTAATCTAAAAAGCAGGGAAGAAAAGACATTAGTGACTTTATTATTTTTTTATAAATGCAATTGGTCATACTTAGTTTAAAGTTTTGGATTAAGTGATAAAAAGTTTATGAAAGAAATTTCAAACTGCACAATATGCCTAAACGTAATTTTCCATCTGCTATTGGTACTGAAAACCAATTTATTTACAATAAAGTAGTAATTTCTTATAAAAATCCTAATTTTCAGAGGTAGGATATACTAAATTTTATTCTAAAACTGCATTCAGAGTGGAGCCTCATAGGAGATCTGCTCATACAGTGGCATGCCCTTGGAGGGAACACTGAGATCCTGGCCCTTCCTCTTCCTCTCTCATTTACATCTGGTCATGTGATGAATGGGTTTGCTCTCCCATGGGCTCCCACCATGATGTGCTGTGCCACTGCAGGCCCTGAGCAACAGGCCCAATCAGTCATGAACTGAAACCTCCCAAACTGAACCAGAATAAATCCTAAATTGATTAATCTCCGGTGTTTGTTATCATAACAGAAAGCTGACTTATATACCCACTCTGCCTCTCTGATGATTCTCAGTCCTGGCTGCACAGCAGAAGCATGGGCAACCTAGAATCCCATGCCTGGTATTTATTTTGAAAACGTTCCAAAGGTCACACTGGGGCAAGCCAGGGTGGAGAACCTCTGTTTTGCCAGAGCTTTTTCAAGCCAATACCATTTTCCTTGGCCTCTATGCCTTTGCCTATGCTTCTCATTCAGCAGAGTTTACCATAAAATTACCAGTCTTAGAGGCCCCAGTTAAACATTCCATCCTTCCAGAAGGTCAACCTAAGTTGTCTCCCTCTTTTCTTTGGATCAAGGACTCACTCTACTTTACCAAGGTTGTAAATCAGTCACACTTACAAATAACTGCACAAGGCAATCTCTAGTTCTTATAGCTATAAGCAATACAAGTGCTCAGGAGGTAGGAGCTATGTTTTGTTCAACTTTATATTCCCCCAAAGTGCGCAGTGTGCTCTCCCCTGTTCCGAGCACTCAATCAATGTCTGAAGAACTACAATGCTTTCCAAATCAACTTCTAAAGATTTTCAGCCATACTTAACCTGACCTGCTACTATTTTTTCAGGGCCAGATAATACTGTTGGAGTGTTCTTGCTGTAACTTTGGATTCACTAACCACCCTTTTCATAAATCCCAGAACCCAGCTAAGAGTGCTGTGGTATAGTTCTCATGTTCATCTTATTATAAGACTATATCATCTTCACATTTAAACTTGCAGGACCCCTGGATACTTTACCAGGGATAAGCCCTCAGTGTATTTTTCTAGCAGTCATGTAGTTATTACCTGATACTTGATATCATCTTACTGAAAAACATTTTGTCCATGAGAATTCCATTATCCTTAGCTAAGAAACCAAAATATATATCCACTGTATGGAGTGCATGTTAGTGACAATGGCCAACTCAAATTTAAAAAGTAACCTACAATAAAATTGTCAGAAATGTATTATTTAGTTAACATAATGGCACTATCAGCAGTTCATATTTGGCACCACCAGATAAATAGTAGTATTTATTTAATTTCCTTTTAGAAAAATTTTTCTTATATTTCCATAAATTAGCAGGTTAAACTTTATGTACTTTTATCATATTTCTGTTTTCTAAGAACTATACCAAATATCCTGTAAGAATTTCCTAAGAAGTGGATGGATTTTATTCCAAGGTAGAGAAAGGGGAATTGATCTCAATCTTTGCAGAAACTGGACTCCTTCCCTTCTGGACCTTGGGAAATAGGCAATTAAAATGACTTCGCTTTGTTAGAGGTTAGACTAATATCAAATTGTATGTATAAATATTGTAGAAATTTCGACAGTGCATTAATATGTTAAGCGGCCATTATTCACACAGGAAAGCCCAACCGAGGAGAGGCGTGCATACCCATTGGGGTCTTGCAGTAAATCTACTGCTTCTCTCAGCTGCTCAATCACTGCTATATCCATGTCCTGATCTTTGGACGAACTCATTCTGGAACATAAACCAAGTATGAGAATGAAAATGACCACTAAAACATGAGTATCACTTATGTTCCCAAGAGTAAACTTACAAAATTCCATCTAACTTGCAGAAATGATTTTTGACAAATTCAACATTACAGTGAAGACATACCAGTGTCCAAGGGTGTGGTGGGAAGAGCCCGTGAGTAGGGGAAGTCAGTTTAGCTCAATAACTCTGAGCCCCCACCTGCTCCTGTGTACAATCAAGCAATAGGCTAGATGCATGGACCTCACAGCCTGAGTTGTACACGTTTTCTAGGGGTCTCTGTGGAGAGATCTGCACTAATTTCTAGCTTCCAACTCCAGTTTAAGCAGCATGGCTCAGGTTTCTTACTTTGACACAATTCAGGGTTCAATGTGGGAGAGTGGTTCTTGGCCTAAAAGCAAAATTATCTGTGTAGCTTTAAAAACATGCCAGGTACAATATTCCCAAGCAGATCCGACACCATAGTAGGGTGGGATATTTTATAAAACTCTAGAGATAATCCTGATTTATAGTTAAGGTTAAGAACAACAAATGTAAAATTGCAAATGGAGTTTCCAAAGATTTATCTAGTTTTAAAAAATAACTCTATTTGCCCGTGATACTCTAATCAAGCTAGATCTCCTTGGAATCGCAGAAGGATATCCAACGAATAGATGCTAATATAGACAGTAAACTTTCCAATATTTTTAAAGTGCAAGAAGATTTGATTATGTTTAGCTGTTCCTACCACAGAATATCATATAAGTCAGTGACTGTCTCTAAATAGAAAAAAAAAAAAAAAATCAACAAATGATAAGTCCTCACCAAAGGGGGAGATTTCCACAAGGTATGATGGAAGGTCCATTCCAAATCACGGAAAACATAATTCCAGCAATCTAATCTATACCACAAGGTCCAAATTCAATTCTCCTGAAAATGGCACGTGATCTGATAAGATCACTCACCCCATTTGTAATCTTGCCCAAAAAAACCTTGACAGACAGTACAGTATAAAGGATATTCACATGGCTGAAGATTCCTAGGGGTCAAATAGTGGTCCTTTGTAATTTGAAAGCAAGATAATCTCTCTGTGTCCCTGTTTTGTCATCTGTGAAACAGGGAACAACAGAACTTATCTCACAGAATTATGGTAAAAATGAAATGAAATCTGACCTGTGCAATATCTAGGACAGTGCTCACACATACTAAAGCTATGACAGGTATTTGACGTGGCACAAGACACTCAAGACTGATGCTTTTCTAAGGTTCCAAACCAAAAATCTTGGGCGAAGAAGAAGACTAGCACTACAAATTGCTTTTGGTCCAGTTGTTGGCTTCGTTAGGCAAATGAAGGAATATAAAATCTCTAGTCTGGACACACTAGCTAATTCTCTACATGACATTTCTACTCACCATCTCAAATCAGATGAAATTCAAGGTCAACAAAGAGGTACAACTTTGCACTGTGTTATGGTTAGCACTGAAGATCCTGTGTGAGGAATTTAATCCAGAACGCCACAGTTGAGAGCTGAGACCTTTAAGAGGTGATCAGGTCATAAGGGCTCTGACTTCATGTTATGATTTATATATAGATGTTCCCCAAAGCCTCACGTGCTCATAGGTGGGGCTTTTGGGAGGTGACTGGATCGTGGGTGTGTTATACTCATCTGTGGATTAGTCTGCCGATGAGTTTATAGCTAAATGCGATGTTGGGAGGTGAATCCTGGTTGGAGAAGGTGGGCCATTGGGGGCGTGGCCTGAAGGGTCTATCTCCCTTTCTCCTCCCTTGGTCTCACTCTCTACTTCCCACTGCAATGCCATAAGCTATTTTTCCTCTGCCATGCTGTCCTCCCTTGGAGCCAGCCAAATAGGGGCTGAAATTCCTACAAACTGTGAGCCAAAAAAAAAGCTTTCTTCCTCAGAGTTGTGGGTGTCGGTTATTGTGTCTAAGTGATAAAAAGTAACTAAGACACTTCATGAGTAGAGTAATGTCATTACAGAGGAATAGATTCCTTGTTAAAAGGAGACCAGGTCTTTCTTGCTTTCTCCTCTGTATTCTTTTGGCATGTGTGTGTCATCTGCCATGTATAATGCAACCGAAAGGCCCTCAGTATATGTAGTCCCTTCCTTCTGGACATCTTGGCTTCCAGAATTGTAAACCAGATTCATGTGTATTGTCTATATAACACCAATCTGTGGTATCCCATTATTACAGCAGAATAAAACCATCTAAGTCACACTGTATGTCTCAATATGATGACAAGCAAAGGACATAGTAAAATTGGCAGCTTTCTATCACTGGGTAAGAATATTAGCTTGGCCTGGACACTCACATTCCCTCTGGCTGCCAATGTACGTCCTCTTCTATCCGTAACAGCTCTTCACAGTCTTCTGCTCTGTCCTGTGGACAGAACACACAAGTGTCCTGAGAACCACTGGTAATTCAGAACAGAGTTAAAACCTGCCCCAGCCCACAGCTACGGCAGTGTAATTCACTGGAACCAACAGGCAAGCCCAGTGTCCACAGGTGGATGAATGGGCAAACCAAACACAGCACAAGGCGTATAACAGAATAACAGTCTTAGAAACAGAATAAATATGATTTCACTTATGAAAGGCACATAAAGTAGTCAGATTCATGGAAAAAAAGTAGAGCAGTGGCGCCAAGGGGCAGGAAGGAGAGGTGGGGAAAGGAGAGGTTGTTCGATAGGTACGCTATGGTTTAGATCTAAATGTCCTCCCCAATTCTCATGTGTTCAGTGGCGGGGCTTTCAGAAGGTGACTAGATCATGTCGTGCTATACTCTGCAGTGAGGTTATAGTTGAATGTGCCCTGAGGAGGTGGGGCCTGGCTGGAGGAGGCAGGGCACTATGGGTGCATCCCTGGGGGTATGAGCTTCCGGAAGAGTGTGCAGTATCCTTATGCATGGCTCCTCTCTTCTCGTTCTACTTCCTGGCTACCATGGTCAGCAGCTTCCTTCCTCCATGCCCGTCCATCATGCTGTTTTTGCCTTGGACCTAAGGATAAACCAAATCCTCTAAAACCATAATCCAAATTAAATCTCTCATTTAAACTGAATTAAATCTCTCCTCCTTTAAGTTGTAGGTAATGCATATTTTATCCCAGCAATGGGAAAGTGACAAATACCAGGTACGAGGTCTCCGTTTTGCAAGATGCAAAGAGTTCTGGAGACTGTCTGCCCATATAAATGTACTGAATGCATATTGACGTGTACCTTTTATAAATGGCTATGGTACTAAATTTCACACTGTATAAATTTTATCACAATTAAAATTAAATAATCAAAAACTAAAATAAAAACAACCTGTCCCAGGACTTTGCCAACTGTTAGCTGAGCAATAGAAATCTAAAGCTTAACTGGGCTTTTTGTTCTTTCAGCACCTCCTGGTGTTGACAGATTCCCGCCACATACTACAAGAGAACCAGGCATTCTAATGTTTGTGAGACAAGGGGTGTGTACTGGAGTGCATGCAAGTTGTTGGGAAAAAGAAAATGTAATGCTCTTAACAGAGACATGTCTCATGATGCATCCTGTAATTCTCATATTTATGACATCAGATGTCTCTCAAATGTACCCCTTCCCACATCATTCCCTAAAGACACTGCAATGGAAGTCCATTGCGGTGGTTTCACAATTTCTTTATGCCTTCATCTCTGACACAGAGAAATAACGCTTTAACTAGGCTGATGCTAGAATGGAAACCACCCCTGAATGGCTATGTCCCATCAAGGATGGAATGCCACAAAAATGGACTGAGGGGTAGGCACATCCTTACCTAACTCAAGACCAGTGAGACTCAAGGAGGACCTGACTCTCCAATGCAGACTCTAACTCAAAAAACTCAAGGTTTTTTCTGCACTGATAAGTTTAGTATACAATAAAAGCAACATAGAAATTGCTGTGTCGCTCTCTAGATGACAGTGAAAGCCTTGGGTACTACCAGAAACAATATGGATATTTCCTTCTGACTTTCAGTTTCAAAATGAAAAGTAGCCAAAGGTATAAAAACACCTAGATGCTTTTTTCTTTTTTTCGGAATGCCAAATAACCTTACTGCATATCTTTTGCTAAATTACACACTTATACAGTGGGTTCTGCATTCGCAAATTGCCTTCTCACTAAAATTTATTTATAGCCCAGACTATACTTGTGCTTTCAAAGTCACTCATAGACATGCAGAGGGATGAAAAACAGGAGTCTCAAGATGCACAATTTCCAAGATGAAGTAGAACAAGGTCAGGCTCACAGACTATTTAGTGCCTATTCAGTGCCATGTTTTCATTCTTTTGTGCCTTCCTTTTATATCACCATTTAAAATGGCCCCTAAACACAGTATTGTGATGCTGCCTTGCTTCTAAAGCCCAAAAAGGCGGTAAGGTGCCTTGTAGAGACCATAGCTATGTTAGATTCACTTTTTATTTAAGTGTGAGTTACAGTGCTGTTGGCTGTGAGTTCCGTGTTAATGAGCAACAATATACAGTCACATGCCACATCACATTTTGGTCAATGGGAAACTGCACAGACAAGAGTGGGTCACAAGAGTGCATTGTCTAGTGATGCCTTGGCTGTGTTAGTTATGTAAATACACTCTATGAAGTTTGCAAAGTAAGAAAATGCATTTCCCAGAATTGATCTCTATCATTAAGTGACACATAACTGTACATTAAATAATATGTCTTTCTGCAGAAACATACATAAAACAAGATTATGTATTGATTAGATGACAAAAATGTGACCAAAGGCTCACAGGAACTTATCTTTGTATATTTTCTAGGTCCAATGGCTTAGTATTAGATAATTTAATATGCATGGTAGCTGTAGACAGTATCACTACCGTGAATAATGAAAATAGACTGTAGTTACCAAAGTATAAGATGTTAATCCAGTAAATAAGCCAGAGTTATGGAAAACAGAATTCTTGACACTCTTGATGATTTGACACACTTGCTGGATGCCAAGTACACTTTCACAGAGTGTCAGAGTGATGTCAGCCAAGCCCAGTCTGGGTCTGATTTTCCATGTACAACCTCTCCTTTTACTCGTTGTAGATTTAGGTTTTGTTTCGTTATCAGCATTCTTCCTTGACTTTCCAGAATAAGTATCTTCCAGGAAACATTTTCCAAGTTGACTTCCTCAGAATGATACTCAATCTGCAAGTGTACATTCTGTAAAGCAGCCGTGTCCATAAGAGTCCTTTGCCTTCTAAAATCTCTTTATATTTTTAGTTTTCTGAAACAGAATGCTTTTCTTCACTAATTGCTTTTTTCTTTTCAGAACCTAAAATTTGAGCATCTTCTAAACAAACTATTCATAGTTTCTATTTTTTGATTCTCAATTTAAGATGAGCTCTTGATAAAATAAAGAAAAAACTAATTTTCCACATTTTTGTAATTGAATTGTCACACTGAAGTGATAGACAGGGGCCAAATCTGGGACAGCCTTGTGAGAACCACTGGCCTGAGAATACTGAGATGAGATTTGCACTTTAAGAAAACATCTGGTTAAAGAGCATGAAGTGTGTGCACATGTGTGTGTGCGCACATACACGGGGTATGATGTTGGATGAGAAACTGATGGGTACACTTACAGTCATCAAGGTGAAAAATGAGGCTCAATAAAAATAACATCAATGGAAAAAGTCCAAAAGGGAAGGGGAAGTGGGAGGGGTAGGGGAAAGGAAAGAAGGGAATGGAGTTAATATGAGAAAATGAAAAATGGAAACAAAGTCTTTGTAAATAGGGAGGGGTGGAGGGGTTGAAAGGAGGGCAGGGGAATGGGGAAAATAAGAACCAAGATATATCATGTAAAGGTATAGGATCCCAATGACAAATGTAACTGTACTGTAAACATATAAAGTACTAATAAACTTAATGAAAACAAATAAACAAAAACGAACCAAGATAGATTATGTAAAGGTACAAATTTCCAAAGATGAATGTTATTATACTGTATGCCTAAAATGTAGCAATAAAATTAATTTAAAAAATTAATGTCAATGGAGGTGGAGGGCGGAAGTAAGAATTCATGGATTAAGGACAGCTTACCATTAGAGAGTAAAGCTTCCTGTATTTTATTCTTTCATTTTTTGTTCTTTTTTTTTTTTCATTAGTGGGAACTGATGCCAGGAACTTTACACTGAGCTATATTTTTTATTTTTTACTTTGAGATAAGGTCTTGCTCAGTTGCCCAGTCTGGGCTTGAACTTGTTATCCTCCTGCCTTAACTTTTCAGAGTGCAGGGATTACAGGTGTGTAGCACCATGCTTGGCTTCCTTCCATATGCTTTTGTAATCATTTTAAATCATTGTATCTCACATACAGGTAGCAGGTTCTGTCTTGATGACATAAAGACAGCTTGAGCACATGAGGGTCTCAAGTAGTGTAAAAGTCAGCTTGTCTTCCTCCCAAGGGCCTTGAGGGTGAAGCCAGAGATGTGTGTTTAGTCTGACTGACATTTAGGCTGACTAGATCCTCAGAAAATACAGGTACATTCAGATATTCCATTCTTGACTTCAACACAGTAACTCAGAAGCCATAATAAACCTACATTTCACCAAAACAGTAAGCTTCAACCTTCCGAACAGGCTGGCAGAAATAGCCCACAGGACTAATCATGCCATGAAGCAGAACCTTGACCATAGGCTTAAGTACAAGCGTACTTATTCTCTCCTCCCTGTGCTTATGAAGATATGTGTGACAACTTAGCGAATTCATCTGCCCTTTCAACTACAACTGTTCAGGAATAAGTGTCTTCAGAATAACCTGTTCAAAAAAGTTTATTTCCAGATTTTTAGTGTCTCCACCTTTCTGTCCAGCATTTTTGAATGCTCAACAAGTCTGAGATTTTGGAACATCTCAGATTTCAGATTTTGAGATCTACAAAACCTACATACAAGTAGATAAATGCAGAAGCATGGGTAGCTAAGGCCAGCCCCATGCTAAGCTTTAAGATGAGCTAAAAGCTTCAGAAAGGCTACAGAAAGCTGGATTTTGAAGGCAATGAATTGGAAACCTTGAATTTAAATTCTGGAGTACCAAACAAGAAAATGACTACAAAAAATTAGTTGATACTCAAAATCTTGCCTTAATATAGTCCATAAATCCTGAGTGGAGAACATCTGCTCCATCAGCAAACTGGTCTCTTTCTTGTCCTGAGTTGTTGTTGTCACCCAAGAGGGAAGGCTCTGGTTGAAATTCCTGATGAAATTCCCCTAGCAGGAAAACACAGAGAAGGGAAGAAGGCATGATTTCAGAAGCACAAAGCAGATAATCCACAAATATCCCATCTCATTTGTTTTATCTTCTCTCCTTTTACCTCTTATAAAGATATGTGAATGACTCAAAGGTTCTCCTCCCTGTAGGAGGTGGAGAAAAGGAATAAAAATAGGAGGGATAGGAAGAAAAGTAAAAGAAACAGAAAGCCTCAAGCTGAATTTAAAACTTTAAGATCTCTTTATGGCTTAGCTCATGAAAGAAATTAATTTCCCCTTATGTGTTTAAGGAATGAAGAAAAGAAATTATAAAAGAAGGCTTAGTGATATGTGGCTAATTACTTCAAATTACAAACTCAATAAATATTTATTGAACAGCTGCTACATGACAAGTATTATGCTACACATTTTAGGATTTAAAAAATCAGTTAAGTATGACTCCTGTACTTAAGTAGCATATAACCTCATGGAAGAGTGTGAGATAAGATTAGACAAGAGCCCCCAAGTCCTAACAACAACAGAAATTACAGCACACAGAGGTGAACATGTACTCAGGTGGTGAATAGCCACCTAAAACAAGACCCAAGGGATGTCTGGAGGCAACAGAAGCACCATAGGGAACTGTTGTGACCCATTTGAAGACTACAAAAGACCAAACAGGACCATCCTCTAAGGAATGTGAGCCAGCAGGATACCCATGTCTAGAGCAGGGAAAAAACTCACTCATACCAGACTCTGAAATTCTTTCATTTGAAAAATTTGCCTACAACACAGCCAGATATAATGCATTATGTTACTAAATTTATCTGAATTAACATGGTGGCACTTATATTGGTATGTAAGTACTATATACTGCTCATATTTTTGGACAATCTATGGTTCCAATATCTTATTAATTAAATACTAAACTTAAAAACTTAAAGATTTTGAAAGCAAACAAAATTTTTGAGTTGTTTTAATTAGCTCTCTCATAATTAACAGAGCATATTCAAAGGGAGATAATCTGTATGTCAACACATTACCATTTGTACACCATACAGTAGTTTCTGCCACAAATCAGTAAACATTAAACTTTAGTGTTTTCTTTCCAAGTCACTGAGGAAACAGGAGCCATCAAAACACTATATCTGTAACTCAAGGATATGAAATATGTATTCTGAAGAGATCTGAAGGGAACAGAATTTTGAAGATACGCATGTCTCTGTGGTGAATATTCACTTGGTGATTCCTGAAGAGCTACAGAACTCTAGAGTCACAAAGGAGACTACAGATTACCTAATCAAATCACTGCATTTACAGGCAGGAATTAAGAGCAACTGACTGTCCAAAGTCAAATAGATTCCTGAACACCTATCTTATTAGGCTCATGGAATGAAGTCTGTCTTACAGGAGATGGGCACTACTTCTAGACCCAACCACAGAAGCCCCAGCATGAGCAAATCTCCATGCTCTTCCCCTGTCTTGCTTAAAATAAATGGACATGGAACCCTGGATGTCCTGTGTTCATGACAGTGGAGTCACAGGTGAAAGGAGAATCGGTCTTTGGACCAACTCTTGGACAGAAGCTGACAGCAACCACTAACACTCATTTGAACTTAATTTGGATTGTGTTAAATTATTGAGATTTGGGGATTTTATGTGTGACAGCAGCTAGAATACCATTAGTAAGTCCAAGTGGGGATTAGTCGTTGTGCACTTGTTATTTTAAACATAGCATTTGAAACTGAAAAGCTAGTGGTGCCTGTCAGACCTGCTGCTGGGGTAAGGCGATGGCACATATCCTCCTTGATGATCTGCTCTTCTTCCATGATATTTGACATTGGCACATTGAGGCTGACGGCATCTTCATCAGAAGGCTAAACAGACAGACAGCACTGTTTCATTTGTGGGAGAAGTTTTATCAGCAGAAATAAAGAGAACATTATATAATAAAAAAATGTCTTGTGATTCTTACAAACATCATGTTGAGTGAAAAGACTCCAGAGCAAAGGAGACTATTCCCATTTACATAAGTTTAAAAACGGCAATAATGCTCTGTGATGTTTTAAGTCAGGAAGTGGTTATTCTCAAGGTTGGTATGTGAGTGAGGCTTTCTAGAGTGCTGCTACAGCCCTTTCCTTCCATCTCTTCCTTACTTTCTTTCTTTTTCCTCTTTCTTTAATGGTAGAAACATTTTATTAAAGATAAGAAAAGAGACAAGCTCTGCAGAGAGAATTTGGACCAAGTAAATGTAAGAAAAGAAGTATACTGCACAGCATGAGGACAGGCCACCATGTAAGAGACAGCATAGTGGCTAAAGCTGTTTCTTGAAATGCGACCTGGCTGTGTTCACTTTGTGAAATTTCATGAAGCTAAAACTACGTGTGCTTCTTTGTTTTTATATTTTGCGCTGAAATCGTGTCATGTACCTGCTTTCTAAATTAAGAGTGATCGTAAGGTCATTAAAAATGACTGTGCAATATCTAACAGGACAAAGGAATAATTGCAAATATACTGTCACATTAGTTCTAAGTTTAATCCATCATTTTAATAGTAGCAGTACTCTGAAATCTAATCACAAATCTAATTTTCCAAAACTACATCAAGATTTCATGCAGCTAGCCACAGAAAGGAGGCAGTTAGCCTCTGTGACAGTATCTCATTTACTTAGAGTGCATCCTACATGTGACATTAAGCATTAGCTCATTGCCCTGATTTTGGCTAAGAAAGCTGCATTAAATATATAAAAATGCTGAACAAATGTAGTAGTCTAAAGAGGCATGCATTCCATGAGATTTTTAAAACAAAGCTTAGAGTAGTTTTCTCTGAGAATTTCCTTTCCCACACTCACTAATAAATTTATTCTGAAAATCTATCATTCTGTCACAAATGAAATATGAAGCCTCATTTATTTTCCCGTGTCTTCATTTCAATGTTGCTATTTAGTGAAAGACTCTAAGTCACAGAGAACAGGAACCCCTCCACAGAACAGACTTCAGGTGACTGTGTCTTGCTCTTAAGTTATTGCAACTATGGCTTTCAGAGTCTGTCTGTTTACCTTTACACAGATGCAAAATTGTTTACAAACTGGCAGAAAAACAACGCGCATTCCATTCATCAAACAAATATTCATAGAACCCCAAATGTTCCTGCTTGAGAAAAATGCTTACAATGTCTTTGTGACAAATCCTGAATCAATCTGGTAGTGGCAACAGCGAAAGGAAGGGAATGGGAGTGACTCCCAAATCCCAGAGTAGCAAACCTGGATGTTAACACATTTGCCAAGGTGAAAATGGAGCACTGTGTGGGACAATTCGTAACCCTAATCATTCTAAAAATAATTTCTCAGAGGCATTCTCAGGTAATGAAGTTTTCATGTGAGAAAAGGGCAAAGAGAAGATTTGTGCATTTTATTCCGCTGATTATAATACTTCCTTTTGCCTCTACCCACCTCCCATCTGAAATATTTAGCAAATTCCAAAGATATGCATTTAATTAAAAGGGAGAAAATAAATCCTTGGACTCCTTTTAGAATGATGTTAGCATCCCACTTACACTAAGTGAGAGGAGAAGGATAATGAAATTCTTTGTGTAATGTTTTATTAATGAACTTAATTAGTCTTACAAGAGAGATAAAGGATAATGCAGAGTCTGTCTTAGTTTAATAGAAAATAAGCTGAGGGTGAGTAATTTCTGCAACAATAGCCCATTTAAGGAGGCTTATGAGTTTTAATAAAGCCGAAGGGGATGAATTAAAATACAACTTAGGAAGCTATGGGCTTAGTACTCCCACCCCCACAGGGAGTGGTAGTCAACTATTAATGTGGCTTCATGTGGGTTAATTTCTTTCACTGACACAGGCCTTTTTTTTTGTCTAGTGATTTTTCTTCCTTTCAAAATGTTCTGTGCTAAAAACAAATGTTAAGGAATCATAATTTACTTTTCTTCATACACTGTTTTGTCTTTTGTGGGAAAAAAATTAAACATCTTAGCCACTTATTAAACCTCAAAGACTTGAGGAGAACTGAGAAAAGGTTTTATCCTGGAGTCACATTTAATGTGACTTAGATAGGGTAACTGACCTATTAATTACAACTTCAAAGTGTGTCATGTTCCCAAACTACAAAAACTCAGTAACTTCACTCAAAAAAGTCCCTTACAACACCTATCCTTTCTTGTTCTCTTGGCCAAGAAGCACCACTTAGTGGTATATTAATGCAAGATTTTGGGGATCTAACAGACTGTGTGAGATAATAAGTGTGTTAATGAAAAATGTCTTGTTCTTAAGTCCTTTAGGCTATAGGAAGTTCTAGTGGATAAAACCACTTAGCTTACAAATAATCAGACTTTCAATTATCCGAACAGAACAGAACACACTCTGAGAATTTCAGAAAAATGAACTATAGATACTCATGAAGTCATCTCGTCAGTAAACTGTCTAAATGCGATGGACACTTGATTCCTTCACATTTATGTATGCACGTAACAACTTTTTGCTAAATTCCTCTGTCACTTAAAAATATGTATATTTACAGAACTGCTTCATGAGTCCCTGTGTAACACTCAGTCAATTCACAGTATTTATTAAGCATTCAAGAGTATCCTAAATTATGTATGGGAGTGGGGGAGGAAGAAGACAGGGACTCGAGACATTTACAAATATTAAAGATGCAAAATATGCTAACAAGAGCTAATATTTACACAACCTTTAGAGGATTTCCAATTGCTTTCACAAACATGACCACAAAGTGTCATGCACACTCATCAGTGCCCTTTATCACAAAGGAGTTTAGTGAATATCCAGAAGCAGAAAAGAAAAAAATCTAATCACTGGCTTTACCTCAGTGGCAGATAATCGCTTATCTCCATTATCGCTTCCAACTCCCGAATCAGAATCCTTCTTGCTGAGGTAGATGCCGTCAATACAGAATTCGTTTAGGAAAAATTAAAATCACAGAGTTCACACCAAGATACAACACTTTATGTTCTCATAACTTTGCTACACACATTTTATTATTATAAGGCAACAAATTAGTCCAGTATTTGATAATATTAAGACACACACCTAATGCACTTGTACTAAGTACACAAGATAAATTCTTGGTGTTTGTTTCCTTAGACTTCAAGTTGTTTCTTTGAAACAGTTTACCAAGCTTCTTATTTTAGCACACAAAAAAAGTAGCAAAGCTTCATAATTGCTTTTCTCTTAAGTTAGGAAGTGCTACTTTCAATAATTTTCATACTTTTGTTCAGTAATTAGATAAACTTAACAGTATGTTACAAACAAAGTGACAGATACACAAAGTATTATTTAAAAGTGTAGTTATGGAAATCTGAAATTTTAAGTCATCCTGTTAAAAGTAAAGGAAAAGATGCCTGTAGTGATGACTCCTAAACAAGGACTTGCATTTCTACAGATGCGTTCAGTGTGGAAATTTTGTTCTCTGGAAGCTAAAAGCTTGAGTTATGCCACAAACGGCTCGAGAATGTGTGAAAGGGTTCTAACACGTCCACTCAAAACAGGAAGTGGCAAAAAAAATATCACACTGTACTTTTAAAAGACAACTGAAAAATGTAGCTTGCAATTTTCCCTAACAATGTTCTGTAAACACACTGAAAATTAGTAATTGTTCAAAGGTATATCTGAGCTTGCCATATGGTAGCTGACCAAAATGATAAGTAAAAAATGCTCATTTTTATATCATAGATCTTATTTGTAAGTATCTACACACATTCAAGCAGGATTGATGCTTGATTAGAAGATGGCAGAAGTGATCTGAGAGAAGACAAATGTTCAACAGCATCAATTTTTCTTATTCCAACAGTTTCTAAATGTCTAGTCATACATTTTAATTGGTTGAGTGAGATTAATGACTGAACCTTTTTGATGATGCCTTTTTCAAGATTCTTAGATAACTGATATAATTTAAAAAGTAAAATGATGTTTTCTAATTTTACTTCCTTTCTTTGTGTGTGTGTGTGTGTGTGTGTGTGTGTGTGTGTGTGTGTGTATAACTGAGACTGAACCCAGGGCCTTTGTACTGAGCTACATCCCTACTCCTGCCTTATTTTTATATTTTGAGATAGAGTCTCAGTAAGTCATCAAGTGGCTCAGGCTGGGTTTGAACTTGCAGTCTCCCTGCTTTAGCCACCCAGAGTGCTGGGATTACAAGCATATAACATCATGAATAGATTTTTTTTTTTAATTTTTGTATTGGGGATCGAATTCGGGACCTTGTGTTTGCAAGGCAGGCAGTGGAACCACTGAGCTAAATCTGTGGCATGAATAGATTTTTTAAATCAGTTACCTGGACAATCTTGACCTAAGGAGATTCTGAACAGGGAATAAGTGAAGAAAGACATCACCTCACCTGTCTTCCACTTGCTGGTGTAAATGTGGCCTTTCCATGGTGTGGAGATACAGGGAGTCAGCTGTCTTGATCTGGCATGCTTGTATGCTCAGATACTTAAATATATGCACTTTGCCCTTTGTGCAAATCTACAGAGAAATTAATACATATTTACTTTCCAATGACAAAATAAATGTGTCAGCTACCTGACTGCACATTTCAATTTCACCATTTCATCGTACTAATACCTTCCCTTACAATGTATACTAAAACTGACCTCTCAAAATACATATGAATTTAGAGAACTGTTTCCTCTAAACTCTACTTCATTGATAGTATTCAGAACACAATGCTCAAGCAATTCCTATTTTTTAAAATTAAACTACAAAATTCTAAAGGAAATATATTTAAGTATAAATGGTGTAAAAAGTATAAAAGTCAGATAACTGGACTGGTAGCATTCCAATCACAAAAGGTGGCAAAAGCACAATTATTTTCAAGGGTTAACCATGCTGTTGTTCAAGGCAGTTTCATGTCGGAACCTGAGCCCTGTCTCTACATAATCAATAATCACATTTTAAGAAGCTTGAACTCTACCTTCCAGCTAATATTCAAATAAGAAATATATTACTCTTTATCTTTTTCTTTTTTATTTCATTTTGCTTTTTAACTTTTATTAGTACATGTCTGCAGTACGCTAACAGTTACATTCATTGTGGGAAATTGGTACATATACCTAAAAGATCTCAAGTCTTTTTTTCCTTACCCCCTGCACCGCCTTTTTTGCCAGCATCAGATTCATTTACTTATCTTTTAAGTCCTTATAAAGTTAATCATCACACAGACAGATTAACAGCCGGACCAACAAACCAAAAAAATATAAAACACATATGACGATTGCAGCAAGACAAGGTACACTTTTTGATACATTGTCCTTGCTAATATATTACTCCTTTTGTACACCATATCCTCCATGAAAAAGCTGCAAATGTACATACAAATAATAAATAAACACATAGTTCTGGGGTTGGAGTGATCAAAATACGGAGGCAAATGAAGGTAAACAGATCTAAAGCAACTTACTATAGTCAAATTCACCCAACGTTTCATCTTTTTGTAGACAGTGACTGCTGCTTCTGATCATATCTAGCACAGAATTAACTCAGTGGAGAATCAGAAACCAGGCTCTGTGGCCAGCTTCCCAAGTGGCCGCGAGAGCATACTCCACAGGGCAGCTTGCTGGGGGCTCCTACCTGGGCTGGAGGAGACTGCAGAGGGTTGTTCTCAAGCAGTAGCACTTGCAGCTGCTTCATCTCTCTAAAACAGATCGGGATTACGAGCACTTTGTTGCAGGAAAAGTCAAACTTTACCAAGGGAAGATCTACTAATTCTAAAAGAATAAAAAAAGAAAGAAATCTCAGAGAGTAACACTATTAAAGAAAGGGCTGAGCATTCAAACATTAATTCTCTGCTTAATGGGAAATATATCGCTTAGCAGAATCAAAAGCATGTTGTACATTAGGAATACATGGTATGTAAGTACATGTACATATTTCACTGCACAAGAGAAATCTTTTATTGGGACCTCGATAATTTTGTATTATGCTTAGTTCTGATAAGAGCTGGAAACACTTGACATTTACAATGTATTGTTTACAAAGCCTTTTTTTTGGCTGAAAAGTCATGCAGGCCATGCCACACAGGTCATAAACATGTTTTAATTTCGATCTGTTTTCAGGCAGCACTTGCTAGAATATGAAAAATATGCTAATTACAGAATTTTTTATCTATTCAATGTACGTGGGTTGGCATACTCCTAGAGCTACCTAGAGTAGATATGTTCATAATCTTTTCAAATCCATTTAAAAAAACTTTTAAAATCAAAATAAGAATTTTCCTATAGGCCCTATAATTCTGATTTGATGAGGCGTTATTTTACTCCTTTTCAAGTTTTTTGTAGCTCTGCTAACAAGACAGAACATTATATTTAGCTTAAAATCCCCACCCAGTGGCACAGTAAACACTCAGTAATTTCAAGCATTCAAACCGACATTGGCAGCTGCTAGAAACGAAGTCCAATATATTTCACAGCACAAGGAGAAGCTGAGCCACGCCACAATCTAGGCTGACGTTGCAGACCACCGATATCTCTGTGTGGAGGCTGCAGAGGTTCACTTCAGAACAGGACCTTAGCACTGCTGTTATGGGACCAGTAAGGGGCAAACATGGTGCTTTTAAAATACATCAGGAGTTCCAAAGAAGAAAGGCAAGAACTAGATTTACATAAAGAAATGTAACCAGGAATGCAAATTCACTGTCTTCTTAACCCACTGCTTCTACAGCCTCAGCTCTTCAAATTCTACCAACAAAGATTTACCTGATAATAAAATATCTCTTCTGAGAGTTGAAGGAATTCTGGAAATGTAAGGGATTTTCCTTCTTTCATACCTTAGCAAACCATATGGGCTTATTTAAGCCCAAGAGACTGAAATTCTAGAGGAAGAGGAAGATCTAACTTCCAGATCCCAAAGTCAGATCCATGGTAGGATGGCTGTACAATCCAGAGTCCTGCAGCCAAAACCAAGGATTCTGCCTTTGCAAAATGTCCTGAGTAGCTCATCATCAAACCAACGCTCCTCCCCACTCTCAGGACCAACGATGGGTCTCGGGCCAGGCAGTCATAGCCCTTGTCTTGATGAAAGGGCTGAGGGTTCCTTGAGGTAGAGGACGTGGAAGCATGAAAGTGAAAGGGAAGAGAAAGCACGACCCTCTTTCATCTTAGTTTCTAAAGTAGCTAAGAATGAGCAGCATTACATAAAAGAAATGACTGCTTGATATAGCCTGCTCTGTTTCCTCACTCCATCTTCAGCAATTCTTCGCCACCTAAAATGAAGACTAGAAGGAAGACTACAGGGCTAAATTCATGGCAAACAGCAAGAGTTACTTACAGGTACATGAAATTTGGAATCCTTTTCTTTTGGTTTGAATTTGGATCCTAACTTCTATAGCATTTAGGAAAATGGGAACAAGACAGTTTCACAGCCATACAGTGGGAGAGAAAATGACACCCTGTAAGGGCAGCCCAGAAAAGGTCAAAGGAGATGGAGCGGAAAAGAAGAAGAAAGAGAAGGAGAAAGGGGAAGAAGAAGAAGATTAAAAGAAGGAAGAGGAAAAGGAGTCTCACTTCCTCCAATGAAAAGAGGAAAACGCACAGCTATTTTAGTCCTCCATTCTTGTGCTAGAAAAAACAGAACATGGTCTTCTCTTTGTAGTAAAACCAACACAAAATTGATATGGATAATTAGGCCACAAACCTCTTTCTTCCTCCTTAGCTTGAGAGCTTATGAGGAGGGGTATCCAAAGAGGATAACCATGGGAGTAAATATGGAAATCCCTTAACTTAATGTGCTGTCTAAAAGCATCCTTAATGCTCTTTTGTTAAGAGTTTTCCAGAATGAAGCAAAAAGAAATATGATATTCAGGAAATTATTGAAAGAAAAAAAGATTTTCTAGTAAACGCAAGTTTCAGCTTGGAGTATATTTTAAAATATTAAAACTGAGAAAATCTAATTATGGAAAGAAGAGTGATTTTTAACTGATCTTTCAGGGAAAGGAAATATTTTTTTCCCTCATTGAGTTTATATTTACATTTTAGGCATACACTATAATTACATTCATTATTGGGATCTTGTACCTTTACATGACAAGTCTTGGTTCTCATTTTTTCCCCTTGTCCCTGCCCTCCCTTCACCCCCTCCTCCCCTCCCCATTTAAAAACATTTTATCTCCATTTTTTCATTTTCTATTTTCCCTTATTACCTTTCCCCTACCCTTCCTACTTTCCCTACACCTTTAGCCCCTTTCTTCCTATTTCACATTGTCAATTATCTCATTAGGATCTCATGTACTATTAGAATTTTTCACACCAGAGAAACTATTAGGTATTTATACATGTGTGACTTATTTATTTCACTTAGGAGTATAACCTCAATATGTATCCATTTACCTATGAATGAATCCAATTTCTCATTCCTTATGGCTGAGTAGTATTCCATTTTACAGAAAAACCACATCTTCTTTATCCAGTTTCCAAATGATGGGCAATTGGGCTCTTTCCAAGTCTTAGCTATTACAAACTGTGCCTCTATAAACACAGGTGTGTATATATCACTGTGATATGATTCTTTTAATTGTTTTGGAAAGATACCCAGCAGAGGGATGGCTGGGTCAAATGGAACCTCTAGTCCCAGCTCTTTGAGGTATCTTCATATTGATTTCCATAGTGGTTGCACTAGTCTGCACTCCCACCAAGAATGGAGAAGGGTTTATTTCTCCCCACAACCCCGCCAACATTTGTTATTGTGTGATTTCTTGATAGCAGCCCTTCTTTATGGGGTGAGGTAGAATCTCAGTGTTGTTTTCATCTGCATCTCTCGAATGACCAGTGATATGGAACATTATTTCATATATTTACTTGCTGCTTTTACTTCTTTGTCTGAGAAATGTCTGTTCATTTCAGATGCCCATATTAAAACAGAAACACTAAACTTGCTGGAAGATAAGTTAGGCAGAACTCTTGAAGATATTGGCATAGGAAAAGACTTTATGAACAAATTCTTAGTAGCACGGGAACTAGCAGAAAGAATCAACAACTGGGATCTCACCTTATTAAAAAGCTTCTGCACTGCCAAAGAAACCATCAACAGAATTAAGAGACAACCTACAATGCGGGAAAAAAATTTTTACCAGCTGCTCCTCAGACAAAGGACTATTATCTAGAATATATAAAGAACTCAAAACAATCAGCCCCCCCCAATATAAAGACCTGATTCAAAAAAGGGAAAGGAACTTTTTAAAAGTAAGAAATGGGAGGTGCTGAGGGAAAGGGCACCGTCGGTTTAACAGGTACACACTTTCCCCATGGTTCAAACTCTGAGAGGCACCTGTGAATGATATAATTAAATTTCCCTTTCGGAAATGGGAGCTCAATTATTTATGACATTTTCACAATGATTAATATGGAAACTTGAATTTAAGTGAATGTTTTCTTTAATGGCTGAAAAGTGATCTGTGTGTAAAATTGCAATTAGAGTTTTGCCTTTGTATCTGCTTATACCAAGCAAAGTGGTTTTATATATTCCCCAAATGGGACTGCACCCTGACAAGTGAAAAATCAGTATCTTTATTAATTCGTGACAAGTAATAAACTTTACTGAGACAGCCTCTGCTTCTGCCTCTTTGAAATACAGGACAGAAAGGTGAAAGCTGCTGAGGATTTAGCTCAGCAGTTCGGTGGCCTGCCTCGCAAGCGCAAAGACCAGAGTTCGATCCCCAGTACCAAAAAACAAATAAACAAACAAACAGAAAGGTGAAAGCTGTCAGAAAAACACATGCATCTTCAATCCATCCAGTATACTACATCTTACAAAGTTCTCGCCCATGATTGTATGAGCTGTTTTCTTTCTTGAATAATTAAGTCTTTTAAGCCAAAGATCAAGATATAGGAACAGGATAATAATACTCAGGCAGCTCTCAGATTGCCCACAACAAAGGCTGACTACTTCCAAATACCTGCTTTTGCTTTGAGGTACATATTTAAGTATATGTTTGCAATTGGCCATGTCTAGAGTCCTTAGACAAAAACAGTAGAAATGAATAAGATCACTGAAAACCAGTGCTGCATTTTGTGATTTGCTACCCATCAACTCATTCATGATCCATTGTCCAACACAAATATGAAATTCAGATCCACTACCATCAACAGGGCTGCTTCCAAGCTCTTCACGATAGAAAAATTCTAAATATTTTTTCCTTTTCCCTTATTCCCTTTACCGTCCCCTTCCCACTTTCCCTCCACCTTTAGCCCTTTTCTTCCTATTTCACACTGTCAGTTATCTCATTGGGATCTTGTGTACTATTATAGTTTTTCACACTAGAGAAACTATTAGGTATTTACACATGTGACTTATTTATTTCACTTAGGAGTATATCCTTAAAATGTATCCATTTTCCTATGAATGAATCTAATGTTTCATTCTTTATGGCTGAGTAGTATTCCATTTTATAGAAAAACCACACCTTCTTTATCCAGTTTCCAACTTATGGGCAAATGGGCTGTTTCCAAGTTTTAGCTATTACAAACTATGCATATGAGAAAATGAAAAAATGGAAATGAAGTGTTTGTAAATGGGGCGGGGAGGAGGGGATGAAGGGAGGGTAGGGACATGGGGAAAATATGAGAACCAAAACCTGTCATGTAAAGGTACAAGATCCCAATAATGAATGTAACTGTACTGCATACCTAAAATGTACCAATAAACTCAATGAAAAAAATTCTAAATAAATTCCTACTTAAACTTTCACGCTTTGTACAGGGAGCACATTGTAGAGTCTATGGCTGTAACAGCAGTGCGGTCTGAGCAACTCCACATTCCTGAATCTTAATGCTGAGACCCTGGAGCCATCATTGCTGAAATTCACCAAAATACCAGTGACACCAGTCCAAGAACACTCAGCAGAGGCAGGCCTCACCTGAAAGCAGATTCTAGGGACTGGGTTCTCGACCAGTACCTCCCAGGCTAGAAATGCTGATGGCAAGGGTCTGCAGGACTGTGTTCCCTAAACTGCAGCCTTCATGTTCCAAAACATCACACAACTGTCCAAAAACCATTCCTGCTGTTACTGTCAGGGACCTGCTGTGTCCTCCACCTCCAAATTCATACGTGGAAGCCCTAACCCTAGTACAGATTGAGACTGTATTTGGAGACAGGCCCTTAAAGGGATAAATAAGTTAAATGAAGTCTGAAGATGGATCCTAATTTACTGGTGTCGTGCTAAGAAGAGGTTAAGATACAGACATGCAGAGGATAAAAGATATGAAGACAGGAGGAGAAAGTGGCTCTCTACAAGCTAGGGAGAGAGACCCCAGAAGGAGCCCACCAGGCCAACATCTTCATCTTAGATTCTAGTCCCCAGAATTAGGAGAAGATAATTTCTTTGATTTAAGCCAGTCTGTGGTTCTTTTTTATAGCAGCCCTGGCAAATGGATACAGTCAGCCCTCCAGCCACTTCACACCCCTATAAAGGGGAACTATACTGCTGTAGCTCTCGATTAACATTTTATCTTGAACATCACTTTTGTTGTTACCCGCATGTGAAATTCAAACTATTAATATCAGCAGACATACACACACAGAAGACCCATCTTCTCTTCACAAAAGTAAACCAAAGCAATAGTAAAAGTTTCCTATTTTCTTCATTTCCCCCTCCTTCTTGTTTACCTGGTGGTAAAACTTTAAGGTAATTTCTTCGGACATTCAGTTCTCGGAGAGATTTTAACTGGCCTATTTGCTGGGGCAACACTGTGATCTCATTGCAGCTGACATCCTGCATCAAAAGCAAACGGGAATCATAAACATGTTTTTCCATGTAATCAAGCATTTCATGTGAAATCTTCTTAAGGAACTGAAATATCTGGATAACTATGCTGATATACTTTTACACCAGTCTCCTGCTCCCTACCAAGTAAGGCTCAGCTTGGCGGGAAAAAAAGAAAGTTCAGTTTTAAATATCCTTTCAGAAGAGGAAAAAAAGAGTTAAAAAGGACAGTCATACCATCAGTAGCTGCTTCTGTCATGTTCATTTGTCATGTACATTGATTTTATTTAATTCTCGCAACAAAGCCATGAGACAAGACTGCCAGCCTATTATTTACAGATCAGGAAAATGAGGTGCAGTAGCCCAAGGCCTGCAAGTGCCAGTGAACACTAGGAAGGAGTTACCACCCATTGATAAGCCACTGTCTCAAACAGCCTCTAAGAGGACCAAACTCCCACATTTAGGGGTATTAATGCACTGTGTGGATACACCACTTAGAAGCGCAGGTTTTACCATATGGTCGGAAACCCTGTAGCTAGCTAGCTGATCATTTTCGCATACAATTTACAAGTAAGACTGTGGGAAACAGGCTTTTATAGACTTTGCTCTAGAATTAATCTTTGATTGGAACCATCTGCTGACATCCATGAAATGGAAGCCATGACATTTACAATCTTATCCTTGTTATCGCATAATCTATCTCTCCCCTTGGCCCCTCTCTCTTCTCCTTTTCCTGACCTCAGTGTCTCCTTCAGTCTGGACAAGATTTACCTCTCTCCCGGACACTGTAAGTCTCCTGCTTGGTTTCCATATAGCCATTTGACCTCTAATCCATCCTTTACAGAGCTGTCGGGGTGCACACTGCATTATGTTGTTCGCTAGTTTACACGTCTGCAGCAGTGCCCAGCATCTCTGATGAGGTCTGCCAGTTCCTCCAGTGCCATTTCTCTGAACATCCTCCCTTGCCTCCTACTCAAGCTGTGTGGTCACTACTTGCAGTCCTCACTGTGTGCCAAGGTGTTGCATAGGCCTGAAACTTGGGCAGGCTATTCCTGGCTTGATAACTCAGTCCCAGATATTGTCCTCTTGCCCCACCTACTTATCTCTTATGGCTTAAGATTCAATTTCCTCTTTGAAGCCTTTCTTGAGGTTTGCCCTACTTTTCCCACTTTGATTCAACACCCAAGAGATGCAGCACTTTTCCATTTGGGTCCTGTGGACAGCGTGTTACTGCAGTTCTCTTGCTCGCATGTACACTTTTCCTTTTCAGCCTGTGGGATGGATTCTCACTGATGGAACACAGGCAGGCTGGGACTATAACACAGATCATTCTGCTGCACCCAGGACGAGGCACCACCACTTAGGCAATGGTGCTGGTGGTGGAGATGGCGTGTGAGGAAGAATTAGTGGGAATTACTTTCCAGCCAAAGAAACAATCCATGTTAATGAACTCTAAAATAGACTTTCATAAATCCTGTGAGCGACAGCACAAGAAAGATCCTTTTGCATATTGTGGAAATCAAAGATCTTCAATGGGAAATTTTCAGAAGTTTCAAGGACATAATTAGTAAGAACAAACTTCCTCTTAGAAAAATAAAGAGGAGAGGGAAGCAAAAAGACAAGCTAAAAGATATTTAGGCAGCATATGCATAGTGTGAAATCTGCTGAAATGAGCTTATTCTGTTTTTCAGTAGGAACTACACACACCTTGTTCTGTGTGGATCATCCCATGAAATCAAGGCATTATAGTTCTCTAAATGGAAGGTAATTTTTCCAACATAATTTTGTTTGGTAGTAGTTATTTTTACTGTTGTTGTTTTTGCTTTTTTGAAACACCTTCATCTCTCTAGGTAACCCAAACTGGCCTGGAACTCATGGTGATCCTCTTGCCTCAGTCTCCTCCTGAGTGCCGGGATCACAGGCATGCATCACTATGCCTGGCTTCCAACATATACTTTTAATATAATGATCGTATCAAAGAAAACCAAATCCTTCCCATTATATTTACTCAGCAGAGGAAACAGTTAATATACTCTTTTAAAAAACTCTACATATAACAAAAACAATAGTTTCCACGCACAAGACAGGACATCTGCAGACAGGAACACAAAGTCCAATTGTCCTCACATTTTGAAGGGTATATAATCAAAATCGGATTGTTTCAATGATACTCTGCATTGTCGTCATTTGCTTCTATCCTGATAAAATAATGGGAGGAAAATGCCTAGGCAGATCCAGTACATAAAGAAGAGAAAGACCATTATACAATAAACATTGTAGAAAACAGTGCAAAACTGTATTCTCTCAAAAGTCAATGAACCTTGCCAAACTTTAAAGAGGTTATAAATTTCATCACAAAACTAAAATCCCATGGGCAACTGGTTTAATTAGCTGAAAAGGGAGGAAGAAAGAGGAGGTAATTGGCCAGGCATCTAGGGATAAGACGTGCCAATTTTGAAAACGAACAAGCAGTATTTCTTGACTGGCCCATCTTCTAGAACATTTCTGTCCAAATTTAGCCTAAGATAAGGTATAAATTTCTTTAGTTACTTAAAGATAATATTTAGGAAAACAAAGTTTAAAAGTAACACTAATAAGTTACCCTTTTGTAATTAGTAATTATCAGATTATAAATTCCAGACTCAGTTACTTATTAGTATAGTCAAATTAATTTCTTCTCAATTTTCTGTTAGCCCTAAGCTATGTCTTAAAGGAATAATAATTCCAAGCTTCAGTGAAATAAAATTACTATATTTAGTGCTATAATAGTATTGTTTTTTATTGACCAACCAGTCCAATTTTGTCATTTACATAAAAAACAAATTAGAAAATTCCAAGATTTAAATTTTATTTATTTAGCACTGGTTTAACCATCCTGTTGTTAAGTAAACAAAATAAAAACTTTGGGAATTAAGATTCTCTTTCAATCACAAAAGTCGCTGGAAGTATTAAATGTAAGTGGGAGATTGCTATGTACTAGTTGCTAACTTATCTTTAGAAGGCAACAATGAGAAGAATTTAAAATACGAGCATAAACCTGGGGATAATTAGCTAGGTAACACTCAGTTTGTGTTTTTTAAAGGTGTGATACCTAACAAAACCCAACATAAATACTGTGTCAAGATGACCTTGCTGAGAGAAGAGCCCCGGGGGACCAGGACACCCTGGAACAGCAGGTAGTCTGTCACGAGCCACCTTGCTCTCACATTCAGGTTTGGTGTGCTGATACTATTAGGTTAAGTATCATTTCTGTAAAAAATCTAGCTATTTTTTAACTGAAGGAAATGCAAATGCTCTCACAGGAAATGCAGGCTATTCTCACTTGCTTTGAATCATGTAACCATGCCCTTTTGTGGAAATGGGCTTCTTATGCCTCACTATGTGACTTTATCTAAACGTCTGACCTTCTCTGTGCCTATATATAGATACGAAGAGAGATGAGCACTACACAGTTCTAATCTTCTTCCAACATCAGGAAAATCCATTTGCAACATCATAAATAATGAAGACACTTTGGTTGAAAATATATAGAATAGCAATGTCAACTGTGATTTCTTACCAATAAAAAATCTCAATGCCTAATGGTCAGAACTTTAAAAAAAATATTCAAATTAAAAAACTTAAAACTTTTTCAAGCAACCTCTGTTACCACAATAAATGATCTCTTCTCAACACCAGTGTCTCTTGAGTGTAAAACACGTCCACATGCCCACAAACACATGCTCCACTTCCCCTCTCTTCATGTGAAGGACAGAAATGGAAGCAACAGAGGGGGCTGCAGAAGCCTTGGATTTCCCACAGTCCCACAGAAACCAGAGGTCAGGACCCCACTTCAGAGACCACAAATGGACAAATAACTGTGGCAGACACATCATTCCACAAGCTACCTCAGAGATTGGAAGGCTACACATAAAAATAATGAAAAAGGAATTTTTCTCAAAAGCCGCTCCATGTATCATGTTGGTAATTGATCCTTGAACTCAAACTCTCCACACAACCAAACAGTTCAGGAAGAGTGAATAAAAAACAGTGTGTCTAGTTAGGGCCAGAAAATGCACCTTCCAACCAGTTACTGCTTGAGGAGGCCCAGTGAGCTTTTTCATTGTAAAGGCATTTCTCAACCAGTGACCCTGGGTTCTCCCACATGAAAGTAAGAGCAAAAGTTCACACTGTGGGAACTGGGGGAGAATGGAATCAAGAAAAACCAAACAAGGGTTAGGCCATCTGTGAACCCCAGCATGGCACCATGCACATAGAACCAATGAGAAGACTCTTCGATTTTGGGCAAAAAAATGCCCCATAAAAGGCTGTCATTTATTGTGTTCTCGGTGTGTTTGTCTCCACAGCTATCTGTTAATTAAACCATCTGGTGTGTATACAGCACCTCTTACCAAATACACTACATCCACAGGCATGGTTCCATAGGGAAAGGGTTCTGTTTTCAACCTGTCTAGAAGGTTCTAACGAGCAGAATGAGGATAATCAACAAGAGAGAAGACCTCAGACACCTGACCACTTAACTTGGCTCCTCAGTAGGAAAACTACTCAACAACACACCCACTCTTTCTGAACGCTCTTGGGGGTCATTCTCCTATTTACTTTCAGTGTTCATGGCTTGCGCCAACTACTGCATATGAGGAAAGCACAGCAAGGTAAGTCATCAAGGTCCAGAGAAAGAACTCAAGGGACATTTCCGTGAGACATTACACAGCCTCGCTGACGAGACACTGCTGCCCTGGGCTGCAGACTTTCACCAGATCAGCTGGGTTCTGACCCCAGCTCCACCATGCAGCCTCATTGCTTTAGGTAAATAATTCTCCAACTGAAACACAACAAAATGTAAATGTGATACCTGCCTTGCTGGGTTGTGATATGAAATAGTACATGTCACTCTATCTCTTCCCCTACAGAAAGCACACACAGCAAGACAGGCTGACCAAGCAACACACACTTCTGCCACAGCTATGAGGTGACAGGTGCTGAAGTCATTCACAGCAGCCAAGGAAGTGAGAAAGTTTTAGGTAATTCCTACTGGAAATGATGCTGAAAGGACAAGTCCAGGGCCAGGACTCTATAAGTTCTCCCATCCCAACTTGGAAATACAACCTGATCACTGCTGTCCATTCAAGAAGAGGACATCTCAGTAGTGCTTCTCAGTGACTTCCTCACAGGAGAAGGAACATGCACTTTTCAATACTCCCTGTGTAATCTCAAATGTCTACACCAGTCAGTGATTGAACCAGGCACCTTTTTGTTTTAAGATTCTTAGATTAACTGTGACAAAATTAAAAAGGTAAGATAATGGTTTTGTTTGGGGGGGGTTGCTTTGTTCTGAGATAGAATATCATGACGTAGTTCAAGCTGGCTAGCTTTGTAGCCCAGACTGGCCTGGAACTCACAGTGATCCTCCTGCCTCAGCTTCCTGAGTGCTGGGAATTAGGTGTGTATCACCACACCCTGCTAAAAAGTAAGATAATGTTTTCTAGTTCTACTTCCTCTCAAAATTAGGGAAGGAAAACTGCATTTTCATAGATGGCTAAGGTATTTTGGTCTTGATTTTCGAGTGGAAGTTAACTCTGGAATGTTTACCCACAATGGATAGAAAAGAGTTTATATCTCAATTTGAGATGCTTTGGGTCAGATGTGAAAATTTAGAAAGCAATTTGTTCAGAACAGCAAACAATGCTTAGAATCTAATAAGCTAAGAGGTTTTTGCAGCACTGAAGTACTAGGTGGCTCAAGAATTCTGAGCACTTGGGGATCTCCCAAGTTTTTTAACAAACTGGTAATATGTGACTATAAAACAAAAGCCTTCCATGGCGATCCTAGAATGAGACTAAGCTCTCCAGGGAATTGTTTTCCCCCAATTGATAACTAAAGATAATCTGACATAGTTACCTCGGTAACACTATTATTTTCAGCAAAATGATATCAAAGCTAAATAAGAATGGATGGAAAGTAATCTTTTTTAGGTGGTGACCTTAACCAAGGTCATTCACATCACTTCCCTGTGGTTAAATAATGTCACCTGATTAAATTTTCATCTACTTTGCAAATAAATGCTTTTTTACAAAGAGCAGACTTGCTCAGATGCAGGGGGCTGTTGAGCAGGAGGAGCACAAGCCACAGAGCTGCAATGTCCGTCAGGGTGGCCACCAGCCACTGAGCGTGCCAGAGAAGTGGCGAGTCCAATCTGTGATGCGCTGTCAGTGTGAGACGCCTATTGGAGTTGCGAGGGTTAATACGGAAAAAAGAGAATCAAAATGTAACAGTAATATGTTTTATTGTATACCTGTTTAAATAATAATGTTTTGGCTATTTGGAGTCAAAAATAATATTAAAATTAACCTTATTTGTTCCTTTTTAGTTTTTAAATTAGGTCACCACTACATTTGAAATCACACTGTTGCTCACAGCGTATCTGTACCACTCGGTGCTGGAAAGGGTGTCTCAGTTTAGGTCACCACCTAGCAATACCAGCGTGACCTTCCACACGTCACTTATTGTTTTTCTGCCCTGGGTTTCCTCATTTGGACAAGAGGTTCACAGGTTGGACTAGATGCCCTTTTTAATTCTCCAGGGCTCTAACATTTTAGAAGTTGAGGGTCCCATGGCAATTGCTGGCAGACAAAAAAAACACAAGGACTCGGTGAAGACATTGTGGTAACCAGGTAACTAGGACACGGGGCAGAATTCTAACAGAAGCTGGGCTCAGGACAAAATGCTAAGTGAAACCCAGCAGCTCATGTGCCCTGGGACTGGAGACAGTGCTATTCTAGGCAGGCCCTAAATCTTAACAGAATCATGACACTGTGTTCCTTCAGTCCTCTGACTTAATTATGTAACGTCATAAAACTGTGACCCCCTAACTTATTTGAAGCTTATTTTTCTAGTTTAACCATAACTTTTCATGAATCTAAAAAAATCACCTAACTATAATGTGACAACCTGTAAACCATGGTAAATCCTGCAAACTTCAGGAACTATAAACTACAGGAAACTTGCAAATTTCAGGAACTGTGTCACAAGCAAAGCTACAGCTATCGGTTTTATGTCTCCCAACTTAATGTGTTTATCACATACTGCCCTCAAACACCTTAAGCTCTGCTATGGTTGGGAAGTAGTTTGCTCTCCAAGCTTTCGTGTGTTGGACACTTAGTCTCCGGTTTAGTGGTGGTAAGTTCTCCAGTTTAGTGGAACCTTTAAGGGGTACAGCCTAACAGGAGAGGGTCAGGTCGCTGGGGCACTGCCCTTACAAGGGATTGACATTTCTCAGGGGACTCCAGGAAATTCTCATGAGTGAGTTATTAGACAAAAAAGCAGTATTGGTCCCTCCTTGATCGCTGGCTTCCTGTCTTACCAAGCGACCTTTCCCTCTCATATCCACTCCCATCATAATGCCATCAGTGCACTGTGATGTAACCAAAGGGAGCCTGGAGGCCAGGGGAGTTCAATTCCTCAGGGCAACCGACAAAAGTCTAAGCTGAAGTTTGATCTCTACCTCTCACAAAGAGGCTCACCACCCAGAAGGCTCTGAACTCATTAGTATTCTGAATCCAGAGGCTGAACACGAGGCCACCTGATTTTGGACTTTCAGCCTATAAAACTGTGAGCTAAATAAACCCTTTTTCTTCATAAAGCTCCCAACCTTGGGTATTTTGTTACAGTAATTGGCAGTGGACTAATATAAGCTCTTGTCTAACTGTAGTAAAAAGTCTTTCTGACAGTCAACAAACACAAAGAGCATCTGAGAAATCAGTAACTTACCAACTCCATTAACTGCTTGAGCTGACCTATCTCTTCTGGTAGTGAACCAAGCTTGTTGTTACTTGCGATTAAGACTTTGAGAGGCAGACCACACAGGCAGGCAGGCAGGGCAGACAGCTGATTTCGACTGCAAAGACAATACAAGAACACACATAAAAAGAAAGGCCATCTCATACTTTCTGTGAAGATGTTTTGGAAAAGTAAGGAAAAAGGAGTGATCCAAGAAGATATTTTGCAAATATAGAGTCCAGTACATTTTCTGTGTATATAGTAATTCAAATCACAGGTGTAGAACAATACAAAGTATATTAACAAAAAAAAAAAAAAACCTGTGGGTATTGAAACAGATTAGATAGTGGGTACCAAAATACAGTTAGATAGGAAGAATAAATTCTACTATATTATAGCATAATTAGGTGACCACAGTTTACAACAATTTATTACATATTTAAATATAAAACTAGAAGATCTCAAATGCTTCCAACACAAAGCAATGATAAATGTTTAATTACTAGCTGAGACTTGTTCAGAACACTTTCCCTGCCTATACTGAATTACCACACTATACCCTATGTGTCAATTATAAATAAATAAATACATGTGCAGTTTTCAGGGAAACAACCTTTCCAACACAGGAATGCTACCCAGTCTTCTGCAGAATCTAGGCCTTTGTCTAGCCCAAAGGCGGACAGACCACACAACCAACAACAATGGGAAGCTAGTTCTGTTATAGCCTGGATCTTAAATATCCCCCAAAGGTCTGTGTGTGTTGGAGGGCTGATCTTAGGCATGTGGTGCTACTGGAAGGTGGTGAAGTCTTTAAGAGGTGGGGCCTGGTGGAGATCTCAGATCACTGAAAATGTGCCTTGGGGGAATTGTGGGACCTTGGTCTCCTCCACTCTCTGCTCACTGGCTGCCATGAGGTAAGCAGCTCACTCCAGCAGGCGCTTCCCACCATAATGTGCTGCCTCACCACAGGTCCCAAAGCCACAAGGTCAAGTGACAATGGACTTGAACCTATGAAACTGTGACCCCAAATCAGCCTTTCCTCTTTTTAAGTTGATTCTATCAGAAGTTCTGTTAAGAGTTAAAGAAAACTAATACAGGTGCCAACCGTTTCCTCCTGACAACAAGTGCAGGAAACTCAGCTAAGATAAAAGCAGCGAACACCACAAAGGCATCATTTCATCCATGTTAGTCTTAATGCAGAAGAGAATTTTGCTGTAATTCACAAAAAACACTGGGTCAATTTCTAATGTTTTCACTCAGCTTCCTTTTGTTAAAACAAGAGCTGCTATAATTAAAATCTGTTTCTGTGTCTGCAAGGGAGCTAAGTAAAAGAAAAAGTGGGCACTGGCAAAGGGAGCCTGGAGGCCAGGGGAGTTTAGTTCCACATAGCAGTCGACAAAGTCTAAACTGAGGTCTGACCCCTATCTCTCACAAAGAAGCTCTCCACCCAGAAGGCTCTGAACTCATTAGTATTCTGGATTCATGAAACATACAAATATTACTTATTTATATATATTAGCTATTTACTTCAGACCCCCCCCCGACAAGAATCTCCTTTTTTTCAAGGGTAAGAAGAGGGGATATAAAGGTAGATACACAAAAAGGCGTATGAATATGATCAAAATATATTACAAACCTTGAAGGCCCCAAGAAAATATGTGAAACTAGGAGGGGAAAGGAGGGTAGGTCAAAGGGCATGATAAGAGTATAATGACTAAAGTTCATTTTGTTCATATGCAAATCTGCAAAAATGAAACTTATTAATCTGTATAACCAATTTCCATTAATGAAAATATAGAAAAAAGCAATAAAACTTTTAAAGGTTAAGAAACAATCATTAGCATACAATCAACAAAAATAAGTATATGTACAACCATTAAACATTTACTAGAAATGTACCACTTCATGAGGTAGATGGAACTTTTACTTTTCCTCTAGTCAGCTTATATATTTATGGTTGCATATGAAATACTGTATTCTTAAATGAAACATGTCAGAATGAATTCTATTCCTCTTTTTTGCTAATTTGTTAGAAAAAATAAGTATGACATAATTCAAAATATATATATTTAGTGAAAAAAAAGCCCCATTTCCTGCTACCAAATAAAGGGAAAAATATTCTCAGGTTCCCTGACTTTCCCTGCCATCTTGCCGATGTAGCCAATAGCCACACAACAAAACAATTAAAAATTTGTGTGTCATGTGATTGCACCTGTCTTAAGGTTTCTTGTGAGAGTTTGTGCATATGTGCATAAAGCTTCAGGGGTTGTCTTGCGTGTATTTATAGGCACACATATACTTGTGTGTGCAAGGAGGAGAAAGAGATTTGGAGAAACACACCAAAATATTAATGGTCATTTTGAGGTAAAGGTAAAATGAGTGGTTCCTATTGTCTTTACTATATTTTGCTGTGTTTTCCAAATTAAGTACTTTTATAATTAGGAAAAAAACACCATCATAAGAACATAAATTCAATCTGGACTCTTGTTTCATGGGTGCTTCTGTTTGTGAAAACTCACTGGGAAGATGAATACTTGTGACCTGTGCACTTCTCTGTTGCACGCTGCAGGGGTACTACTTAAGTCTTTCCCACATTTATCCACAGACGAACACACATGCATGCATGCCAGTGGCTGGAATCTGGCTAACCAAGGGGAATCTGTAACTGATGAGCTTCAAAAGAGCAGGTGCCAGGCTGGGGATTTAGCTCAGTGGCACCGCACCTGCCTTGAAAGCACAAGGTCCATGGACTAGTGGTGCTGTGCCTGCCTGGCAAGCGCAAGGTCCTGAGTTCGATCCCTGGTACAAAAAAAAAAAAAGCAGGTGCCAGAGCTGAGGATATAGTTCAGTAGCAGAGAGAGCCCTTGCCTAGAAATGTGTGAGGCGCTATGTTTGATATCCAGCACCACAAAAAGGAGGAAGGGAGGGAAAAGAATAAAGGAGGGCGGAAGGAAGGAAATGCACAAGGAGGTACTATGCTATGCAAAGAAACTTACTGACCTGGGTCCTTCTCTGCCAACATCCTGATAGCACTCCTACTCCAGGCCCAGGTAACTTGACATAGGTAACAAACAATATAACCTTCTCTTCTGTCTGTTGCCCAAATCCATAAAGGATGCTATTTCAAGAGAGGGCCAGAAGAAGTTTCTCTAAGAAGGTCCAGCAGAAACAGGGAGACTAAGACCCCTCTGGGGTCTCTGGTACTGGAAGCACCATCTGGCTCACTTTCCTAGTTAGGAGGAGGGAGAGAATGGGGTACTAGGCTCCCTGACACTCTCTCCTGGGCTGGGGTGGAGGGGCTGGAGAGGGGAATGGGGGGCACCAGCCTCTCTCTGTCTTCTCACATCTTGCTGCCTTCTCCTGCTTGCAGAAACCCATCGGGACTCCTTTGGCTGGATGAGGGGTCCTCCAGGCGCCCCACTGGCTTTCTTCAAGCTCTTAAAAAGGCTTTTAAGATCACGATGCACGGTGTATTTACCATTATTATTCTCTAATAACTTTTGTTATGAAAAATTACTTTTTCATAGAATGGCTTTTATACTTTCTTTATTAATATCTACTTGTATTACAATAAAAAATTTTAAAGGGCTCTGTAGACACTACCTCTGGAAAAAAGAATGCTGTGAAAGAGTAGCAAGTAAACAATTTGAAATGCAATCTGTGGTATATAATATGTATTAATATGGTATGCCATTTCATAAAGTGAAGATGGACAAAAAATGCCAACAAAACAAACCTGTTATTTTAGAGCCATGTTTAAATTTCCTTTTGAAAAGAGAATCACAGGAACATCTTTCCAGAAAATTCTATAATCATATTTCTACAGAATTATTACAGGTTGAGATCTTTCCTGAGTTTTTTGGTTGGAAACACAGCATTAGACTATACCCAGTCTCACTACCTCAATACATGCACCTGACCAGAGCAGCAGCTATGGAATTAGAAGAGTCATTTATCACAGCTTTTGAAGTCATGCAAAATTATGCTCACTCAGATTTATCCTCCCTGTAATGCAGCGTGTGTATGAACTTAAAATAAAATACAATTTAAGCCTGTGAAAGTATTCATGGCCTCTTTGATGGGAATAGGTACGATATTTTTTAGATTAAAAGCAATTGATGGCACAGCTCATCTCCCGTTAAGCACCAACCATTCCTCATATACACTGAATTAATCACCATGGACTTAGCAAACCCACGTCGCCAAGAATTTCATCATAATTCAAGATGCCACAGACACAGGCACATTTCTACTCCATCCATCTGTTCCCTCAGCCTATATTTCATATATTTTATCACAGGATATTGCTGTGTTACTTGCAATTTCCCCAACAGGAAAAGGAAATACGCATGCATACAAAAACCCATCAGCTCTCCACCGAGTATTTATTAAGGACAGGAGGAAATGCAGTTTATTTCATCCTGAACCTACTACAGACCGCATCAGCAGCCTTAGCTTTCTGAAACCACTCATCTGGCTGCAATTTTCTCCAGCAAGTAAGTGCCTCAGGCCACAGTCCACTTTCCTACCCCCACTTGTCTCCTATGGGCCTCTGTGCTATAATCAGACTCTTCCTGGAAAGAATGTTTAAAAATAAGGCCATATAGTGGCTGATAAGGTGATGGCCAACATTTATTTTCAAATCTAGCCTCCGAGCCACATCTAAAAGCAAACGTTATTCCTATTTCTTTTCCCCACTTGTCTAAAAAGAGTAGATTCTCAGAGCAAAGGGCCTGCTCATTTAAAAGTAGAAATTACAGATTCAGTCACGGTGGCCTGAGATTTCTTGCCCTTGCCCGAGTGGAGCCTGCCCAGTGACTCTTGCCTTTGTCCCTGCTCTGTCTGGAGGGGCTGTGGAGGTAGAGAGAGGCTTTTACCAGACCCATGTATATTGTTGATGTTTCAATCATCCATCTTGTCCAGTCAAAGAAGACTTTCCTGCTATATCTACTTTGTCATCTCAAGATGAAACAAGGTAGTTTAACATAATCATTTTTGGTAGTCTACATTTGTAGGATAAATTTCTTTCGGCTTCAAGTACTGGTATCCCTCATTGAATTCCTACATCAAGAAATGCACAAACTAAGTCACCTCTTACGGTTTTGCTTCCAGAGAGTC